TGGTTTTTCACCTTTACTCCGATTTTTAGTTGTGATCTTAACATCCGGGGCTTAGAATTGGACGGCTTTTGTTTTTTTGGTGAAGGTTATGTCTTCTTATGTTGCTCAAAGTAGAGGTCACCCGAGTACTTGGCTCTATCGTGCAGTGCAGTACAGTACAGTACATGCATCGAAGGTATAACTGCCCAGACCGTATTCCACGCAAAGTTTAAGCCAAAATCCTAGCGATCAATAACGAACTTTCGTCAAAAATCGTTTTTCCATCCCAAAAAATCTCAAAAATTCCCCATTTATCTTAGTTATCCTTGACATATCAAAGAGTCCCATTTTTCTCATTTCGCCTTCTTGCACAAGAAGGCGAATGGGACCCCTCCCCTGTGCTCGCAAATCTCTGCTCCGGGGGTGCGCCAGATTTGGAGGAGCCCCGGAGCAACAAAACGCGTGAAATGGGAGCACTCCGGAGCAATGAAGTGGCAAACCCCTGGCATTTGCCCTCCGGAGGTATCCCTTCGACGGTCTGAGTTTACCTATTGAAAACTAGCGTTATGCCGCCTCTGGAAAATTCTATGAGTTTATAAAGTATGCTATTATGTCCAGAAGCGGAGTCAATACAAAACTATCGCACTGGTGTATAAAAAGCAGCAATTCGCTGGACGATTTTACAGTTGAAATAGTTGCTTGGAAAGCTTACGAGATAAGTTCTCAGAATATCGTAGTTGCCTCAACGTTAGTGGGTGAAAATTGAAGAATGAAATTTCAATAGGAAGAAAATTCTGTTTCACTAGACTCAAATATTGGAAAAATCGTTTGCGCTTGGGTAGGTTACTTATGAGGTATTTTTATTCAATTTCAACTATGTGAAAAAAGGCGACTGGCATTGTGCCAGACTCAAAGCGATAGGGGAGCCTAGCATAACAAAATAGATGAATGAAAAATCAAATCTGGGATGCAGAAGAGCCACAAAAGGTGAAAGCAGAGAGGATCAGTATCCCCCTCCTCCACTTACGTCCCCCCCCCCCCCCTCTCCTTCTCCCTCTATCTCGGCCCCCACCCACCCTCCTAATTCCACTTTTCTTTCCTCATTAAGAAAATTCCTTTTAAACCTGAAAACAATCAAAAGGAACTATATCCTCCTTGAAATATGGATAAGAAAAGTTTGTATCTTCCTCTTTTGCCGTTAGCCTCAATAAAATTTTGCAGAAAAAAATTGTACTAACTTCATTTATTCTTGCAATGTCTATAAAAGTAGATAATTTTCTATTACCAACAAATAATAGATATTGCACCGTGGAAAGTTTCTAACACATTTTCATGGAAGATGGGACATCCGTGAAATAAAGCTCGAAAATTATGATGGAACAAAGAAAAATGGACCGTTGTAAGCGAAAATATGGAAGGAAGGCAACAGGACGGACGTTCTGCCACTAAAATAACTAAGTTTAGTTGAGTGTTTGCTGTCACATGTCAATATGTCCCCCCACACGCTGTTCTCCTCTTGATTTCTCATGCATTAAAGCTTACATTAATAAGAGAATTCTATAGAGAAGTGGAAAAAATGCACAGCAAGCCGCTGGGCGGCAATGAATTTCTGCATTCATTGTCACTCCTGACGTGGCGAGGGAGTTGCAAGCACTGGAGGGAGCTGAAAAACTCATAGAAAAGAGCGGCTACTAGTCAGAAGTGCAAATACTGAAATTCTATATTGGTAGTGAAAGCTGAAAGTTGCTGGAGAATGGGCTCCATATTCTCTTGAAAAATATGATTTTCCTCGAATTATTCGGAAAGAAGGATATTCATTTCCCACTAGAAAAAATCAAAATGCATACCACAAAAGCCCGCTCTCATCTTTTCCCCAAAATTTCTCCCACCATCAAAATCTGAGGCTTCCGACAGAGCTAGATTCTTGCATAATTACCTTTTGATTCAACAAGATTGGCGGCTGGAAGGACCGCTCACGTTCGCAACGCAGCCTCACGAGCGTGCTTTTTGATCAATTTCTAGTCTCAATTAGACCATCAAGCACCGCCTCAGCCGCCAATCCAGTTGAATCAAAGCGTGCAAAATGTGTTGTGTTGTGCCTTCCTGTACGTAAAGGAAACAAAACCATGCTAATCGGGAAAGGAAAATATAGGAAGAATTCTTTGGTGTTGTTGGAGCTTTGACTAGCATAATACCAGCTGCATCGAGTTTTTTCTGGCGCATTTTTCATGTGTCTGGGGCAGCACTATAATAATCATAATTCAGTTATGAATGGCAGATAATTTATGTAAAAGTCAATCAACGCACTATACGAACAAGTTTTTCTCGAAAAGCCTACGGCTAAAGAAGTCAATACGGCCGTCTGAAGATCTCTTGATGTACTCTTGTGCCAGTACAACATAGGTGCTGGAATAAATATCGAAAATTGACAAGTGGGTCTTGCGGATGACTTACTTTTAGTATGCATTATTCAATTCAATACCTAAACAGAAGGTCGCTGGTTCGATTTCTAGAATGGATGAATAAAGTTAACACAGACTTAAGGGAACTCGACTTGAATGAAGATCAAGCTGACGATCGCGAAAAATGGAGAAGACTTACAAGAGTAGAAGAGTAAAGTATTTAGATGAGTACATGATTAAATATTGTCACTGTTTCACGTTATGTATAGTGTGTATTCGACAGCCTTTATCATTCTTTCGAACGTAATGTCGTAAACGTAACGAAATTGAGACGAAGAGTTCCATCGTTCTCATTGAGGCACACCCTGACCGTGTGAAGTAAATAAATAATCAGTAATTGAGCAAATTAATATTAGAGGTGGAATCAGGAATCATTGAATGAGGGTGGGAACAGAATCACCTGTAAGCAAGGGTTGAAATTCAGTTAAGGAGGAGGCAATTGCTTAAATGGATTTATCCTTTCAGAGCGTTTTGTGATCTGGCAAAATCGCAAGTTCTCGTAAATGTTCTATTTTGTCTTCAGTTTGGTTCTGTTGACGCAGTCAAAATAGCACAGAAACGTTGTCGGAAACAAAAGCAGCAAGACGTTGGTAGAAAATCAAAGGACATATCGAAAGTCAAGTTGGCGTGATGCGCACTTTTCTTCAAAGAAAAGAAGACTTCTTGTTTATTAAGCTACTTCTCTGAGCTTCTCTTCAACGACTGCTATATCTAAATCATGGCTGGCTTTAAGACAATCCCTGGAAAGATCGCTCTCCTGACTTATCCTTCCCCCTCCCCGAATGTCATAAATAGGAGGTCCCAAAACCAGGACTTGCCGTTAGGATACTGAAAAAATTTTAACTTGTCGTAGTATTTTCTATTGTTTGCATAACTTTTATGGGTTGATTTTTAGCTTACCTCTTTTATCTGCCTTCGATAAAACAGCCTTCGCGATCTACAAGAAAGGTGAGGGAACCTCGGGAACACAAACGACCATCGCTTTTTGGGTGGCGTCTCTAAATCATTATAGGTGCGCAGCTAAGGAAAAAATGCCAAACTTAGCGCAGTGTTTATCTCCGGTCTTAAAACTTTTTTCGTAAGATACCGTGTTTTTCTATGTGGCTGCAAATAGCGAGTAGTTTCCTTTAAGCGTTATATGTCAGGTTTTATGAATAATCTCATTACTCAGACATTTTCTGATAAAGCAATCACGATATCTATAATGTTTATAACATAATAAAAATATACGCTCGTGGACATTTCCTACGAGATCACATTGGCAATTTCTGACTTTCCGTTTTTTTGAATTACTGAATCAACACATGTCATTGCATAAACATTTGAAATATGAAAGAGTAAACGTAAGCTAAACACTGACGGGAACTTTGGGAAGACGAAGAAAACTTCTCAACACACTGAGAGGCCTGAATATGTTGTCGGTACATATAATAGAGTACATGAATGCCCACAAATCAAAAAGGTCAATTATGCTTTGTATTCTACGGAAGTTCACAAGTTTTACACGACTGTTATTGCACACATAAAAGAATCTGGCTTGATTTGCACAAATTTTACCTTCGAGAGCTTTCCATAATTCCTGCAGTAAAATACAATTTGATTCTGCAACACCGATTATAATAGAGGTAAAGAGAGAGCAAGACAACAAATGGATAGAAAGGCATCGCAGAGCTATTGCAACCGCTGGAATTCTTCCAAAAACATCGGTAAACCAAGTAAAAAATCTCATATGAAACACTTGAAGGGATGATCAAACTTCATCCCGTCTCGAATACTTTGATAGCAAAGTTTTGATGTAACGGCTCTGTGTGTTGAGCATCCCTCCAAAGAAAAACGGAGCGAGAAAAGTCCCAAAAAGATTTTTTCGAAGCGATCCAGTACTCTGATAGCTAATCAAAGTATCATCAGTATCTATTCAATGCATACCGCATTTTTCGACTTTATTTAGACACTTCAAATGATTTCTTGTTCATGTTGTAAGCCTTAACGAATGATACATATCGAGAAACATTCGATCTGCGCAGGAAACAACTGAACAGGTAATTTTCCTTGCGTTCAATTTCGTAAGAAGTTGAGAACAGGGCAAAATTTGACTTAGCCACGTACGGAAAATTTTTCGTGAATCATTGTGCCATCAATCATTCATCTCTCATGAAAGAAATGGATTGCTAGTTCCCAATTTCAATCGTCAATAAACAGTGAATGAAATTGGGCTCATTGGTTTCTAGCACCATTCATCCTAAACAAAGTTGAAGTTTACCTAAGTTTGACGAACAATGGTCTTAATTCGTGGCATGATCCCTTTTGGAAAAAAGAACCAACAGGAATTCGTGTGCTATAAAAGAGTTGGCTGTAGCCCACCACATTGTCCAAGGACAAACATGGTATTTCTTCCCATTGTATTCGCTACGATTTTCAGCTTTGCTCTGGTAAGTAGCCAGTAGGTGATCATACAGATAAGATGTATCGCCATTTTGAGACTTGCCCGCCGACGACTCCTCCCGCCCCCACCGCCGCCCCCACTACCACCACCACCCCCGCCCCCGCTGCCCCCAGCAACAAGCGCGAAGTTGATCAAATCGAAGTAACCGTGGTCAGCAATCAGAAGTTCGACCCCGTTATGAATGACTCACACATGCAAGTTTTCAAAACCTTGGTAAGTTAGTGCATATACGAAACTAAAGAGGAAAATTAGAAATATGCTTCTGTACTATAGTTGCAAGATTACATGAAAGGCAGGGGAGCATACTATAACAAAGACATGGTGAAGGAGAAGATAATGAATGTAGATGGTAACTTTGCGGTTCTTTACACTCTACTGGGTTATGACTGCGATACGGTAAGTTTATGTTCTGCCTATTGTGCAATCATGAGGTACGCTTTCCAGGTGAACAATTTCTTGCACGATGCCAAGAGCAGCGCTAACTTCATCCAGGACATCAAAGTCAAGTGTGGTGGAAGACCGGCATTTAGTATTGCTTGATCATTTTCGAGCCAATAAATCAATCGCATGCAAAAGGTTCCACAACATTTCGATTGAAAATCAGATACGTCTGCAAATCCACTCAGGTGAAGAAGGAAACATAAGCTTGGAGAAGGAGAATTACTTATATAGCATAGAGTTCGCAAGTACCATTTAGTAGAAATCTTATTGTCGTGCATCGCTGCGGACTTTTTCAGAAAAATTGGGACTAATCGTCTCTGTTAGCACGGTAATTCACAGCAGTGGGTAGATGTGTAGCACCTAAACCCGAAGAGGAAGTTTTAGCTTGTCGAAACCTCCGTGTTTTTGTAACCACAGACAGATCCTTGTTACACAGATAGGCCACAGATTTTAGAAGCTACGTCTCGAAGAAAGCCCCAATTTTGCAGAAATTTACGAACTCGTCTTTGACCTTTTCACAACCCTCTCATTCGTCCTTGCTTTTCTTATCCGGACTGTCGCGCAGCTCTGAAATAAGCAGAGCTAGAATACAGCAGATATAGTCGATTCGCTGACCGCACGGACTGGACATCATGAGGAGCACGCGCCGCGAGGTAAAACGCTTGCTCCAGCGAATTCGCCATTGTATTAGGTTGTTGCAGAAATAATGGCTCGAAAAAGTGAACATTTTTGAATTTTTATCTTTTCTTTTCGCAGAACTCCTTCTCTACGATTTTTTCTATTCTTACGTAAACTCATGGCCTGCGGCTACAAGATAAGCTGATTGCTAGCCATACGAACACAACTTGAAGGGAGTTGTAAGCTCTTAAAGACAAGGTTTTCAAAAGAAAAACTTTCGGTTTTTCGACGCATCGTTTTCTTCTCGTTTGCGATATCAGTACGGGCAGGTGCGCGCTAAATTACGAAAGGTTGCTGTTTCTGAGGGTCTTGACTGCATTCAAAAATATGAGGGCTGAACGAAGTTATAGCCCTCCAAAGTGATAATTTGCAGAACGGACATTATTTTTGCAACAACCTATACAAATCGTGCTCCCGCAACATTTCAGGAGAACCGCGCGTGGTTCGCAGCGTTCTAGCAGTCCGTGCGGCAAACAGTCGACGATACATGACTCGATACGGTGAGTAGCATGCCACAGGACCGACGAGAGCTGACTCTTGTGCTGGTTGACTTCGCGTGGCGGCATCACTTTGCGAAAAATCGTGACTTCTGCTAGATACCCCTATGAAATAGTGTTGAAGCCTGTAATGCTTTTGTGCTGTGAAAACCTGCAACATGAAGATTTTCATGAAGAAACCATGAACAATGATGTGAGCAGAAATTCATGTTCACAAATTCATATTTGGCGTTTCACCTCGCGGCGCTTGCTTCGCTGATGTCCAGTCCGTGCGGTCAGCGCGAATCGACTATATCTGCTCTATTCCAGTTCTACTTATTGCTGCGGACAGTCCGGATAAAAAAAAAGAAAGGACCAATGAGGGGGTTTGAAAAGTTCAAGACGACTTTATCTCAGCTATATAGGCATCGCATGACGAAGGCGCAATACTCTAAGCGTTCGCGCGGCTTTTTTAGCCTCAGAGCGGTGAGACACAGTGTTTACAACGGTGAAGATACGTGCGCTTCGAGTTCGCACCTGCTCAACTAACACTGCTTCTGCGCCTTCGGCTTCCAGTAGCCTTTACTTAGCTGAAACAGATTAGCTGTTTTGCAGAAAAATTGGGCACAGCTTTCGTTCACATGAACTTCACGTAACTTCGAGCGTAGTCGAGTTCCCTCACGCGCATGTGCAGACCAAATTTGGTGTCATACTATTGCGCTATGGTCGTAAATAGACAACCCATTTGTTCGTTTGGGTCACAATTTTGAATTTCCGCGCGGTGCGAGAATGTGTTGGAGTACGTGAGTGATGACCTTGTTTTGATTTTCAGAAACCGATGAAAATCTTGAATGACCATATCTTACATAGCTTTTGAAGGCAGTGGCTCGGGAAAGTTGTAACTGCGCGCTTTGTGTTCCTCCTTGGCCTTCTGGATGCGTTTAGACCGGAGCTGTGTTTGAAAAGTCAAAAAAGTGCTATTTATGACGTTCTCCGGCCTTAGAGATTGTGAGGAGGCTGGAGCGAAGATTCCCGCAGCCGAATCGCGACTGGCTGCCTGTGCCAATCAGCCAATTGCCGCCAAAATGAGTGATATTACAGTCTCCTGCAGCCAATCACTGTTTTCGGCAGGATTCTCCGCTCCAGCCTCCTCAGCAATCTTCAAGGCCGGAAAACGTCATAAAAAGAACGTTTTTGACTTTCCAAGCACAGCTCTGTTTTAAACGCATCCAGAAGGGCAAGGGCCAAGGAGGAACAGAAACGCGCAGTTGCAATTTTCCCGAGTCACTGCCTTGAAAGGCAGTGTCTTATTAAAATTAAAGTCTCGCGGATCTCTACATTTCAATAAAGAGCCCCCTAAATAGGCCATTGCAACAAGTCCCACTCAATTCAACCTCGTCTACGCTAAGAATAATTCGCTCAAGGTGGTACGCGGAGAGTGATTTGGTACGCGAGGGCGACTTCCCCGAAGCTTCCGAAAAATGAGTTTTCGTGCGTTTTATAAATAAATTTTATGCGATTTTGGACCCGTATTGAGTTTGACAAAGACAAAAAGGCTCGCGGTATGCAAAAATTTCGACAGCAAAATTTGGTGAGACACTGCCTTTGAGTCCAATTTCTTTTATGCGATTTTTGCGGTACTTTACCCCAAACTCGCAAAGACGGTATTTCCTTTGCTCTCTCCCCCACAAAACATTAGGTTGGTGTAAAAAATTGTCCGTTTTTCTAGGCCTATTTTCCAAACTACTTTTCTCCATCAAACTTTCTTTTTCGATGCAGATACTGCATATCAAGTTATCTTCATGTACTATCTAACAGTGGTAAAAGAAAGCTTCTATCTCATCTGTAAGGATTTTACCAGCATTTTGCACAGCCGCACTCAAAAGCGAATTTTTTTTTTTACTTTCTTAACCACAATTCAAGTGCAAATCAACGAATTCTTTTGAAAACATGGCTACTACAGGGGATGAATATTGTTTACCTATTGCATACCAAAACAATTTTTTCGATTATGTGTGGACTGAGAAATCGGCGTCCCAAAATATATACACGTTTCTGGCATTCTCTGGGTTAAAAATTTTATCCCTATAAAGGCAATCGCCGAAGCTTGCTCATCTCCAGGGTCAAGCCTGGGGTGTGGCATGCCACGTCTGGGGGGTCGTACTGAGGGGTCAGAGGGGGGGGGGAGGGTCGTTTTAAGGTGATTTTGATGTTAGCGATAACATGATATTTGTTAGCAATGTCGGATAGACCCATTATGCAAAATACTAGCACATTGATATTTTGACCTACCATCACCTACAGTAAGCATAATACAAGATCTATAAAAGCATAGGAGCATCGCTTTTGTAATCAGCACGTCGAATAAACCCTGTGGGCCAAGTTTCAGCGAATTTTAAGATTTCCGAATATGGGTCCACCCATGTGAGATGGTCATTTTCAAACACGTTAATTTTGTTTCGAAGGTAAGTTAACTACTTCTTTTGCACTGAATACAAAGAACTACTATTTCTTTGCTCACATTAGGAGTCCTACTTCAAACAAACTTCAAACTATGGAATTAAGAGCAAGCCATTATCTTGTTTGTTCCATACTTCGCTTCCAATATTTTGGAGAAAAGACCAATCAAGCTCAAATCACTCTAGTGTAAAGTGCGAGGCCTGGATGATCCAACACATACATTCTTTTCGCCTTCCCTCGCGATTCACGTAGTAGTGGAGTTACCGTAACCCAATATTTTTGCATTATTTTCCATTTGCACAGGTAAGGAAAAACGATTATACCTTTTCCCAGAAGAAACGAATTCAAGTGAATTTTTTGCTGTATAAAGAAGAAGGCTGAGCAGTAGCAACGATCCAAAAAAACACAGCTATTTGTATGCTTTGAAGGTAAGTTAAAGGGGTGTGGCAGCCACAGCTTTTCAAGGGGGTGTGCCACACCGCATTAACTATAAAAAAACATTTTTAGCTAACAATATTTATATGAGTCGATAGCCTGAATCTCGTAGATTTCACAGGAGCGATTTGAGCCTGATTCGTCTTTTTAGCCGCGAGTAATATTTGGAGAAATCACCATCAAAAGCGAAAAATTGGAAAACCGAGAGTTTGGTTGGTTTTTAATTCCACAGTTTGGAGGACTTTTGAAGCGGGATTTCGGAGATACAAAGAAGGAGTAGTGCTTTGTCTTGAGTACAAAAACGGGTAGCTAATTCATCTTTGAAACAAAGTTAATCGTTGAAAAATGACTATTTCACTTAAATGGCCTAGTATCTTGAATCTTCAGAAATCGCTCAAACTTTGTCTACAGAGGTTGGCTGACATGCTAATTTGGATATGTTGCCCGTTATGTTTGACAGGGCCTTCAAGCGATGATATCTTATGTATATAGTTTAGAAGGGGGTTGGTCTTATTGAGACAGCAATTAGAGGGGGGAGTTGTAACCAGCATCGTTTGCCACACCTCTTGCTTGACCCTGCTCATTTCTGTATGCATTAGATCAGGATATCCCTGCAAATTTCGCAGAAAAATATAGTTATTCAGTGCAAGGAGAATTCCAAATTTTCGTAGTTTGTGGTTTCCTGGCCTACCACAAATGAGCTCAGAAAGTAACAATTTTGCATTTTTATCTATTCTTCTCGCAGAACTCCTTCGTTGAAGTCTTTCCTATACGTGAGTATACTATATACTAGTTTTTGTCCACAAATAAACTGATTAGCAGCTATAGGAACAAAACTTGAAGAAACTGTAATTTCTAGACGAGATTTTCAGAGGGGAAATTTTCTATCTTTTGACGCACGGTTTTCTTCCTGTTTTGCGATATCAGTATAAGAGGTGCGCACTAGATTAAGGAAGGTTTACTGCTTCTATTGGTCTTGAATGTTCTGAAAATATGAAGACTAGATAAAGTTATAACTCTTAAATTTGAAACTTTGCAAAATGGAATTGTACCAAAGATATAGCTCCACTTGATTTCTAGGCGGAGCCCTGGGTATAAACGGAAGTATGCATTGGGTGAAATGGCTGTAATGTCAGAAACAGTGGCTGTCCCCTTTTCCTCTGCGATACGCTCATGAAAGTTTCAAAATTGGCCTACATGGGTAACAAAAATATGAAAATTGACATCAGGCCTCCTCTAGTTTAGGTGCTACACATCTGACGTATTGCAGTGAATTACCGTGCTAACAGAGACGATTGATCCCGACGTTCCATCTCGGAAGAAGTTCGCGACGATGCACGTTAGATAATTTCAGCTACTACACGGTATTAGCGAACTCTATTGGTTATATACAGTCTGTGTCAATCGCATGCTCTCTTTCCGTGCCGTCACTATGCCACGCTTTGAGCCACGTTCGCGCGCGTATGTTCGCATTCAGAAAGGCCTTCGCGTTGCGCATGCGTAATTCCTACACGGAAGAGAGTACATAATTGATGCAGACTGTAGGTGGTATTTCCTTCTTTTTTAAAGGCTTGTGTTTCCTTTTTTACCCAAGTGAAAATGCCGGTGTATCTGATTTCTATCCAAAATGTTGTAGAATTTTTTGCATGCGATTGATTTATTGACTCGAAAATGATCAAGCGATACTAAATGCCGGTCTTCCACCACACTTGACTTTGATGTCCTTGATGAAGTTAGCGCTGCTCTTGGCATCGTGCAAGAAATTGTTCACCTGGAAAGTGTACCTTAAGTTTGCAAAATAAGCAGAACATAAACTTACCGTATCGCAGTCGTAACCCAGTAGACTGTAAAGAACGGCAAAGTTACCATCTACATTCATTATCTTCTGCTGCATCATGTCTTTGTCATAGTATGCTCCTTTGCCTTTCATGTAATCTTGCAACTACAGCACAGAAACATATTTCTAGTTTTCTTCTTCACTTTCGGATATACGCTAACTTACCAAGGTTTTGAAAACCTCCATGTGTGAGTCATTCATAGCGGGATCAAATTTCTGATTGCTGACCACGGTTACCTCGATGTGATCAACTGAGCGCTTGCCGCTAGAGTTTGCGGCGGGGCTTGGGGCAGCGGTGGGAGGAGCCGTCGGCGGGCAAGTCTAAAAAAAGGCAATATATCTCGTTACTTGTATGATCACCTATTGTACTACCAGAGCAAAGTTGAAAATCGCAGTGGCGAATACGATGGGAAGAAATGCCATATTGTCCTTGGGCATAGTGGTGGGCAACGCCAAGCTCTTTTATATGCACGAAGATATGAAATGCCCTTAATTCCTTTTCAAATTGAACCATTCCACGATTCAAGAGCATTGTTCACCAAAACTTAGGTAAACTTCAAAAAAAAAGAGAGCGGTGCTCTCATTTTCGATCAATATGTTTGCTGATGACTGAGAACTGAATACTAGCTATCCATTTCTTTTGAGAATGAATCATGAAATATCTTCCGTATATCACGAAACGCGTTTCCCTTGGTTTGGTTTCTTCTTGCAGTGCTGAGAAGAATGCCTGATATGCGGCAAGAACTTAGTTAGATATGCAAATGGATAATCACTTCCAAGATTCACGTCGCAAAATCTAGTTTCTCTCTATTTCCAATCCTTTTTCGCTCAAAGGCACCAAACAACAAAACCTATTGTAAATTTTGCCATTCAGTTGCTTTTCTGGCAACGATCGAAGGTTCGAATGATGTGATGCATACCTAGAGAGAGAGACGGCGTTACTTCAGTTAGCAATCAAAGTATTGAGTTATACCGAAAAATCTTGGTCTTGAGGAGTTTTCCTCTCTAATTTTATAAAATTTTATCTAGTGCTTGCTTTACTTTTTCTTGGCTCAATTGTATCATTCTCGTTGTTCATCTTCCACTCCGAATTTTCAACAAGCATTACCATGATGGGGCGCTGAACGCACAAAGCCGTCGCACTTAACCCTTGGAAAAGGGTGAGCGGGACCGCAACAAAATTCGCACTTTTCTTCAAATATCATGTAAAAAACATCATATAACTCTTGGGGGCTTTGATGCAGAAATCCAGCGTTCCCTATATAAATTTCCAGAAATTTACTCATACATTACCTTTTCTTCAAATCAAACTACGTTCGAGCCCCCTGTCATTGGTCACTGAAGACCAACGCTGCTTTTATCATACTTTATTTTTGCAGCTTATGCTTGCTCTTCATTTCTTTTCTTAAGCCTGCATTCAGATCTGTACATTTTTTTCAATGCTGTTGTGATACGGAAGTGATAGTACGTTTAACTGTTTTCTGGTTTAGTGTACCGTATAAATTAATAGATATATCGATTACTATTCCAGCAATTCCACCTTCAGAATCAATCTATGCTGATGATTAGCCTTTGATTCAACTGGCTTGGCGGCAGAAAGGCGGATCTTTGTATCCGCTACGCAGTCTGCGTCTCTCTTGTGCGGGTGCTCTCTGCTCATTACCTAGCCTTAATTAGGTCACGAAGCCCGCCTTCCAGCCGCCAAGCCAGTTGAATCAAACGGTACGTCGGAGCTGAGAGGACAAGAAAGAGACGAACTAGGAGACCAAAGTGAATCACACACTCCCACCTCCCCATTTAACTCTTAAAGACAGAGGCTCGGCAGAATGACAACTTCGGGATATTCGTCATGGGTTCCCCTGGACGAGCTAGGTCCAAGGCTGTGCTTTGCAGCTTTAAAAGATATCAATAACCCGCTATTCCAGACGTGAAGAGTGCTATTTGGGCGGACCGCGTATCCTGCTCTCTAGAGCGCGATTGGCTTGGGAGTGAAGGCACCGTACCTATCGTACCCACGAGCCAATCGCGCTTGAGGACAGGCATACGCCATCGGCCCAAATAGCACTTTTCATTTCCAGAAAAGTGGGTTATTTATATTTTTTGAAGCTGCAAAACACAGTCTTACTTAGCTCATCCAGGTGAACCGAGAGCAATGAATGTCCCAAAGTTGTCACTCTGCCGAGCCGCCGCCTTCAAGGAGTTGCCGCTTGACAGCAGCTTGCCAATAGCTTGGTTAGGCTCTCACAATTAGCATCCACATATAGTCCACGTATTCGCATTTGCTTGGACACGATAGCTTTTCATAAAAATCAGAAACGCAGTCAGTTTAAATATCCGCTCGCAGGACGAGCGCACAGTTGCTTCAAAGGGCAGTGACTGCTACGACGCTGCTACGAGAAGGTAACATGCAGTAGACCTGGCTTCAACATAGATTTACGGTATAGAGCGAATCATGATCGCTCTTCACTACGTAGAATTACGGGAAATTACGGGAGGATTGAAGAGGGTTTTGAGCCATGGAAGGCCATAAATTTGACCCATAAAGGAAACAAGACTACTGCCAGAACTAGATTCTGCACCACCACCATGATTGCTATGGCCATGATACGACACCGCCCTACTTTATAGAAATAAATATGCAGCTCTTACCAAAGTTTGTTACTTTAGCATCACAACGCCACATCTTTTTAGGGAGGAGAGTAGATCCAAGTGCGGCACTCAACGCAGCTCGATGCCACGGATCTTTTAATATATAGAAATGCCAAGCTACGGTAGCTGCAGGGTGGACAGTTTTTGCGAAACTTCCCAGGCTTAAGGTGGGACCCAGTGTGCGGTTTACTACATGCACTTACTAGCTGATGCTAAAATCTGACTGCCTACCGTTCACCCGTACTCAGGCAGGCATTCTCATAGCCTAAGTGTAAAATCCGAAAAGGTACATCTTTATGGATGTTCCAGGCAGTCACTCTCGGAATCATACACTGTATCAGATAGTTTGGAAGGCTTTGCGAGACTACTTCGATGCATCGGCATACAATACAATTCAAGTGATCCTGAAGAGACTTTAAGACATTGTCCATCCTAAGTCAAGGATCTTGAGCTTTCCGCAGGCATATGAGAGTAGGATCCCCTAAAAATGTTTCTTTTTGAGAAAATTTCCACGAAATAACAAGCACGAAAACCCCTAGACGATACCGCCCCTTTTAGCAATGCCCGCCCACCCGTGCTTTCCTATTTAAATCTGCCTCGCGGGTCCTCCGAAACGGGGATTGTCGGAGTTTTCGAAGATTTTCTACTTCATTTATGGGGCAAGCTGGATGTGTTTCGGGGTAAAAAGCAAGGGGATATCGTTTACGGAATCTCCCCGCCCCTCACCTTCCTCACAATTACTTCCTCCCACTTATGTCATCACCCTTCATCTTCTATAGAGGATGCAGATCAATCCTACCTTATCGATCCCATTCCTGCAAAAACCAAAAAGTTTCTGTCTCGACAGGTTTCCCGGTTGAGCGCGCGAATTCAAAAACCTGCCCCGAAATAAACAAAAGCCTTGTTTACAACTAAGAGAAAATGAAATGACATCAAAATTGATTCTATAGATGGGCAGTAGAGAGTTAGGACTATGCGCGAAAAATTGCGCAAAAGTTATGTGAACTGGAGGCGTGGCAAACTTTTTTCGGAGTTAGCTTTCCAGCCGCCTGGAGGTGGCCGTGAAAAGAAAAAAGTCATAAATTTTTCTTCCTTTACGTAATTTTATCACAACTTTAACATAACTTTATTCTAAATCAAAAACCCTAAACTGAGTTTTTGAATCTCAAACCCTTCCTCCTGGCCTGGTTCAACCCTCCAAATATTCTGTATGACCGCGGCAAGCCTGCTCCAAGCGCAATGGTGCGCGCCGGACACAGCTTGCCGGCAATCTGAAGAAAATGAACTTCTCTAGTTCTTTTTCGTTGGATGAGAATCTGGGTAGACGTGACTTCAATGGCTGTGCAGAGATCCGCATCAAAGCTTAGAACAGGTAACAAGGGCAGATTTGTGATCATCGTTTTAAGAGGCACTTCTAATGATATGCATAGCATTCCGGATGGCCATGGTCACCAAGTATCTTCCCTTTGTTAGACTGTTTGTTTTTATTTGGTTTTCTGAGGTTGTTCTTGCAAATACTCTCGGTGCATATGATAGAATACAAAATTCAACATGTTCAATACTGAGTTCACTATAAATTTCGATCGTTTTGGTGTACTAAAATGAAGTTTTCATCATTCCTTTTGAGACTTAGGATCAATCTATTAGGGTGTCCCATGATTTTTTTTACGTTACCCTAAACTTCAGCATTTTTCGAGAATGGGGCCTTTACAACGTACAAATTCATGATCGTACTTCTGTATGTCTGAGCTATATGATCATGCATGGGAGGAGCACAGAACGTCTAGGAGCGAAGTTTGCCATTTTACTCCATTCATTTCTTTACTTATTTCTAGCCATGGAGAAGAAAGTGTACATTTGAGTGTTCGATGTGTCAAGCATATGCTAGGATGAATGGGGAATTTTTGAGATTTTTTGGAGCGGGATACGGTTTTTGACGGTAAGGTTCCTTTTCTGCTACCAGGTTCACCTTAAAACTCCACGTGGAATACGATTCGAACAGACTGTTCATAGCCATCTAGTAAAGCTCCCTTGTCCTGTCGAATCATCACTCAAGCCACATCAAATGAGGGGAAGATTGGACGGTTGTGGTAAAAACGATAGAAAATTATGAGACACCCCGATAATAGTAGCTTCTAGCTTTTCTGCTTACGGTTAGTTATAGTGAAATATAATATTTCCCCCCACATATTTTTCCTTTCTCATCTAGTTTTTCTTGACGAGTTACAAATGCACTAACAAGGAATATTATAAAAGCCATTTTGTTCTATACAAGGTTTTTGTAAGGCTTAGTCATTTCAACTCAATCGAGCGCGAGAATGTAGTCAAAGGGAAGTTTTGGTAACACGAATGCTTCATTATTTTCCCAAAATGTGCTTAGCTTGTAGCGACGCATTTGCTAGCAATGCACATCTACCGTATTACTACCAAGTACCATATCCAGATGGTTCCTCGATGTTCGACCTCAGAAGAAAATCAAAACTATGCACGATATGGGTCATTTGGAAGAATCATTGTCTGCAAGCAGTCTGAGTGGCTGTGGTGGCTCTTCTCCACAACAACGAGATGTTTCTTGTAATATTGGGGTGGTATCTAAACTTTGTAGAGACTTTTGCATGCGATTGATTTATTGTCTGGAAATTGCTCAGACAACAACAAACTGCGGTCTTCCACCACACTTGACTTTGATGTCCTTGATGAAGTTTGCGCTGCTTTTAGCTTCATGCAAGAAGTTGTTCACCTAGAAAAAACAATCTGAACTTTTTCTACAGGCAGGACATGAAGTTACCCCATCGCAGTCGTAACCCTGTAGAGTGTAGAGAATCGCAAAGTTGCCATCTACATTTATTATCTCCTCCTGCACCATGTCCTTGTTATAATTTGCTCCCCTGGCTTTAACGTAGTCATTCAACTAAACATGCAAAGCATCTTTCTATATTTTCCTTAATGAGATGTACGTAAACTTACTAAGCTTTTGAAAACTTGCATATGTGCGTCGTTCATAGCGGGATCGAACTTCTGATTGCTGACTACGGTAACGTCGATGTCGTCAACTTCGCGTTTTCCACTAGTGTTAGTGCCACTTCCTTGTCCTCCACCACCACCTCCTCCACCACCTCCTCCTGCACCTCCTCCTCCTGGTGGAGGAGTGGGTGGACAGGTCTCAAAATGACGATTATATTATATATCATTTAAATTACTGTCTATGTGCCTTCTGCACTTACCAATACAAAGCTGAACCACACAGTAGCGAATACGATTGAAAGATATGTCATGCTTGTCCTTGGACGACGTGATGGCCTACACCAAGCTCTCTTATATAGGCAATGACAAGGAATGCTGTACTACTTCTTTTCTATGAAGCTCATGCCACGATTGTGGGGCATCGCTTACCAAAAATTATGTAAACTGTACCTTGTGTAGAATGGATGGGGCTCCTTTGAAAGCAAACCTCGTTTTCGGGTACTATATGTTTGCTGATGAATAGAAATTAGAGTTTCGTTATTTATTTTTCTGAGAACGATCAATGCTTCTATCATAAAGCATGTCTTCTGGCTAAGAAACAACGATGGTAAAACACAAAAAACTACTTGTTGTTTTTTTTCTACTGGGTAGAGTGTTCAATAGTTTTAAAAGAAGACTACTTCTTGCTGAATGTCTTCGCCTTCTTCTCCTTCTTTAGAAGTGGCCTTTTAAAATGAAATGTACACTATCTTGTAGAGCTTGAAACTCTGCTTATATATCTTTTTTTGCTCTCTGCTGCGGGCTTCTGAGCGAGAGTTGTAAAGTTTTTTCTGGGTAAGTCAAGTGCAAAATCAGTGCAAAATCACTCGTAACATTTTTCTAGGGCTTAACTGATAGGCGGGTCACTCAGTGCAATAAATATTTTTGATTCAAATATACCAACTCGCTGCTGCCTCATTTGAACGTTGAGAAAAGGGTACGACTGATTTCACACTTGTCTTGCATTCAAATTTTTACCCACAAAAACCTTCATAACTTCTCGCCCAGAAGCCCACAGCAGACATCGAAGGTAGATATGGAATCAGAGTTCCAAGATCTACAAGACAGTGTACATTTCATTTTGGGACGCTGCTTCGACCAGCTTTCCTTCCCTTGTTAGTATGCCAACCATAGCTCTTCACTAAACTCCTTTTTCTCTATTTCACGACGCTTCTCGTTTTCATTTTCGTTGTCTCCTTCTCCTTTTTTGATTCTTGAAAAGCGCTTTATGTCACTCTAAAACTTTATATCGTTTTTTTATCAATTTTGAGTAAGAAGTGTGTTTCACAAGGGAGGGATACTAATTTAGATTCGCCTTTTGAGATGAGACACATATATTTTGGAACCAGCTTTGAACGCTGATTCCAAAAATGTTGTTACTTCCGCAGCGAGTAATGGGTTTGCCGTTGTGAGTAGTTAACAAGTTTTTGAATGTCGTAAGACTGCGTACAGATAAGAATCTGCTCGAAAAAATGCTAGAATGTTGAATAGCATCAGATTGATTCTTTCGATCTTGAAAGGGAGCATTACACAAAACGCAAAACAACCTAGACGTCGACACCGTGGTATCCGTAGCTCGAGGAGCACGCAAATTTGCATAGAAAAGAGACCATAACTCGCTTCAGAATAATGCTAAGCAGCTAGGAACAACATATTTGGAACCAGCGCTCCAAGCTAATTCCGAATATATGTTTCCCATTTCAGTAAGCGGATCTAAGTTAGTATCCTTCCCTTGTCAGAAGAAAAGAGGCAGTCACGGAGGCACTTCACCCCTCTTCTGATAAAGTTTGGAAATTGTTTTTGCAGAGCCCAAATAACTCACAGGTCTCTAAAATGTCATTCTTACGAATTCGTTCGAATATTTTTTATTGCTGGTCAAGTGGTGCAAATCCTGCAGAAAATTGCCGGATAGAGCAAAGCCACGCTCTTTGAATAACTAAGGAAGATATTATTAAAGATATTGACAAACAAACAGTGGGTACATGCTTTTGGGGCACGCTGTAAATTGCAAACATGGGGTTATTTTTTTATTTGTGTTTTTCAACGCAGCTCGATGCCGTAGATCTTTTGATATACAATTTGTCCCAAAAAATTCCTTGCTTTCAAGTCTTTCGCCAAACTTGAGGTATCATTCTGTAGAGCGATAAACTTAGATTTGCAGTATGGACCGGATCATCAAACACTCTTTATTACTGCAGGATTACCATATGAACTTTGAGAAGGATTTTAGGAAAGTGAGGGCGATTTTTGCTTCAGAAAGGAAACCAAACAAGCCAGAAACTCTTGTAGTGGGCTAATCGAAGTCGGTGGCTCTGAGTATGAAGTTTGCACTACACTGTAATGCTGCCTACACAAATTTCCAGCTTTTTCGGGAACCTTTTCCATCAAACCTACTCCTTAGTTGCGCTTTATGGTGGAGATTAATACCGTAATCCTACAGTAATGATAAGTGATTGATGATTCGGTTCATGCTGTAAATCTAAGTTTTTAACCCCGCTCTACAGAATGATACCTCAAGCGCAGCGAAAACATGAAAACACGAGTTATTAACGATCAAATGTGTTCACACTTTTTTGAGATACGCTATATAAAAGCACCTAGCTAGCTGCAGGGTAGAGAGTTAGACATTGCGAATCTTCTCAGACTTACGGTAGGATAATTCACTATGCTGTTTACTACATGCACATACTGACTGCTGTAAAGCTGACTGCCTACCGTGCAACCATACCCAGTCAGGCATTTTCATAGCCTAGATGATCTAAAATCCAATTAGGGACATCTTTCAGCGAATCTTTCTCGAAATCATACACTGTATGAGATAGTTGCGAAGTCTCTTGCGAGACTAGTGCGATTGTGTCAGAATGCCATTTAAGCCGGTCGATCCTGAAAAGAATCAAAACACCGTCCAAACTAAGTTAAGGGTTTTGACCTTTGGCAGCAAATTGTCTGACCTCATTTTTTGTTTTCGAGTATTACCCAGAGAGTTTAACCTCTCAGCTAACATTGAATTTTCATTTCTGCTAGTGTACGCTCTTACCATTTCGATCTACACTATCCCCGAATAAGACAAAGAAGTTTCTGCTAGTATTTAACAACTTGCCTTATCGCGGAGCACGGTGGTTACAACATCTCCGATATTCTTCAGTCGTCTAGTACTGTCGCCTTCAAATAAAAGGTGAGGAAGTTTAGTTACAAGGCCCTACTAGCTTTTACGTTAGATTTAGTTTATCAAAAGCACCATCCTCCTTAAGTCGGAGGTATTGAGCTTTTAGCAGCATACGATAGGTAGGGCCCCTATCACGCCAAGGCCCAAGTCATGGCCAAGATGTCCCTTCGCGAGAAAATTGCTCCGGATTAACAAGCACGAGAACCACGGCACCGTCCCTCCCATCCGTGCTCCCGCGGACTCTCCGGAACGGGGACTGTCGGGGTTTTCGAAGATTCTAAGCCTCATATTTGGAATAAGCGACATGACAAGGCCGAAACGACAACAACATGGAAATCGAGAATCTGGATGGACGGTGCCTTTGAAGGAATGTGCAGAGCGATCAGCATCAAAGCTTATGAAAGATAACAAATGCAGATTTAGAATCGGATTTTGAGAAGCACTTCTGATGGTATGCATAGCATTTCAGATGGCCACGGTCTCCAAGTATCTTCTCCCTGTTAGATTGCTTGTTTTTGTTTGGTTCCATGAGGTTGTTCTTGCAATCAAAACTTTCGGTATATATGATTAAGTGCAGACTTTAGTATGTAGTACTGATTTACTGAGTTCATTATGAATTTCGAATGTTAATTGCCTACTATAATAGAATGAATTTTTCAACATTCTTGCTGAGAGTTAAAATCAATCTCATAGAAGTTTCTAGCTTTTCTGCCTTGGCCAGCTCGTTATAATGAAATGTTTTTGCCACATGTAGTTCCTTTCTAATCTAATTTTCCTTGATGAATTACTCAAAGTAGAGTTCCTTTATCCTGATTTCGAGACAGCTACATTAACAGGGGATATGATCAAAGTCATTTTGTTCAATAAAGATTTTTTGTGAAGCTTTAGTCATTTTGACTCAATTGAGCGCGAGAATACAGTCAAAGGAGACTTTCGGTAACAGGTCTGTAATGTCTCAATTTATCTAAAATGCACTCAGCTTGTAGCGACGCATCCGGTGGTATTGCAAACTACTGTATACCATGTATCATATTCAGATGGTTCCTCGATGTTCGACCTCAGAAGAAACTCAAAACTGTGCACGATATGGGTTACTTAAAAGAATCATAATCTGCAAGCAGTATGAGAGGGAGTAACTCTGGTCTTTGTAATTTCGCTATGATATCTAAACTTTGTAGAGACTTTTGCATGCGATTAATTTATTGTCTGACATTTGATCAGGCAACAACAAACTGCGGCCTTCCACCACACTTGACTTTGATGTCCTTGATGAAGTTTGCGCTACTCTTAGCTTCATGCAAGAATTTGTTCATCTGAAGAAATAACCTAGGAATTTTAAGACAGGCAGGACATGAACCTACCCCGTCGCAGTCGTAACCCTGTAGAGTGTAGAGAATCGCAAAGTTGCCATCGATATTTATCATCTCCTCTTGCACCATGTCCTTGTTATAATTTGCTCCTTTGGCTTTAACGTAATCATTCAACTAAACATACAAAACACTTTTCTATATTTTCCTTAGTGAAACGTACGGAAACTTACTAGGCTTTTAAAAACTTGCATATGTGAGTCGTTCATAGCGGGATCGAATTTCTGATTGCTGACCACGGTAAACTCGATGTCGTCAACCTCGCGTTTACCGGTACTGTTACCTCCTCCTCCTCCTCCTCCTCCACCACCACCTCCTGTCCCTCCTCCTCCTGGTGGAGGGGTAGGTGGACAAGTCTCAAGACGACAAATCTCATCTAGACGATTGTCTATCTGCACTCTGCACTTACCAATACAAAGCTGAACCAGATAGTAGCGAATACGAATGGAAGATATGTCATGTTTGTCTTGGACGATGTGATGGCCTCCACATTCTCTTTTATATAGGCAAGGACAAGGAATGCTCTACTACTTCTTTTCTATGAAGCTCATGCCAAGAGTTTGTGGCATCGTTTACCAAAAATCATGTAAACTTTACCTTGTATAGAATAAATGGGGCTCCTTTGAAAGCAATCCTCGTTTTCAGGTAATGAATGTTTTCTGATGAATAGAAATTAGAGTTTCGTTATCCATTTTTCTGAGAATGATTAATGCTTTGATCATAAAACACGTCATTGACGCATATTGCTAAAATGAATTTTGGTCTGACGACTCACTTTAATGAAAGGAAAAGATGTGCTGGCTAAGACACACGATAGTAAAACACAAAAAAACTAATTGTTGTTTTCTCCCCTGGATAGGACGTTCAATCGTCTTGAAAGGGGACTACTTCTTGCTGAATTTCTTCTCCCTCCTCTTTCTTTGCGCAAAGAAATACTTAGCATGCTAACGATAGCTCTTCACTAAATTCTCTTTTTCTCTACTTCGTGCCCCATCTCGTTTTTGTTTTTGTTGTCTCTTTCTCGTTTTTCACTTTGCTTTCTAAAAAGTGTGTTATTCACTCTGAACGTTTTATGTCATTTTTTGAGCAGTTTTGAGTAAGAACCATGTCCCACAGGAAAATCAAAGAAAACAGATTGCATCCGATGAGTCACTTCGCCCCTTTTTCTGAAAAAGTTTGGACTGTTTTGTCAGAGGTCAAATTACTCACAAGTTTGTAAAATGTCATTATTACGATTTCCACGTATTTTTCATTCCTGACTAGTGAACCAGCAGCTGAAGGTGCTAGATTGCATCCGCGAGCTTCGGGACCGCCACGCGGTTTCCCGCTATTTGCACATTTTTGAATTGCGCTTACGTTTCTTTCTTTATATATATATATTGAGTGGTGCAAATCTTGCAGAAAGTTGTCGTATAGAGCAAAGTCACGCTCATCAAATAACCAAGGAAACCATGAATAAGTTTGCATTAAACTTCGTGTAACCTTCATTATGACGAGATTTTTGATTTTCCATAATATTCTTGTAGAATTCATCTCCAATCGAAGACCTGCTAATTCGTGCTCTAGCAAATTGTTACAAACTTCTGTTACTTCAAAAAAATACGTTTTAACCCTTTCGGACCTGGTGGTGGCAATTGCCACCATCAACTCAGAGATCTACTGAACTGGCGCAAGAACATTATTAAACTACTCATTGCTCTCAGACGCTTCATATAGCCTTTGCCTTCCAAATGTAGTTTCGAGACCGGGTGTTCATTTGCTTCTCTGTCAATAATATGTACATTTCTGTAAACAAGTAGATTTCAACCAATCAATAATTTGCACCGGCTTGAGCACCGTTTCAGTATCTCGTTTATTAGCCAAAAAATATTCATGATATTATCATAATGTTTTAGTACGATGTTGAGCAAATGTAACTGTTAACTGTTTGCGGGTCCACATGTATCGCGGGAGATTTGAAAATCCAAAATAAACGCAAAACCAAAAAACTGAAAAATCAAAAAGAAATAGTTCATAAGGTTAAGCAGACTCCAAACTCCGCTATAATGTTATTCATGTGGTAATAACTAAAAAACAATAGGAGAGAGGCTTCTCGGCTCACTCGCAAAAACTCAGGTCCGAAAGGGTTAATGCAATTCGTATTGCTACGCTATATCCCAATTACAATTAATCGCAAAATTCGAAAGTTTAAATGGTCAAATTCAATGAGAATTGCTTCTTAAGGACTGGCAGCATTGAGAAAATTTTCATTTTGGAAGTCCAAAGCGGCGAAGAAATGCGAAAACGATCTTCTAGCCAATAATTACATAGTCTTGAGAAAGAGACATCCTTTTGCTGCAGTTTGAAAACTTTCCGTATGGGGCTGGAACCGAACTGAGCTGTTTATCTGTTTAGTAATTCTTTTAGGTAGTGAATTTTTCGTAGTGATAGCATTTCTCGTTATCGGGCTAAATAATAAATAGTTACGTGTCTCTTGTTCCACGCTAAGGCAAGATAGTAGGCTAGGAGGGCATTCAAAATCGTGACGCTGTTCAGACCCCACCGAGCAGCCATAACCGTAATTTCTCATTCTATTTTCGGTCTCCGATCTTGTTGCGCTGTAATTTTTGGATTACAATGCACATTGTTCATTACGTATATTACGAAGGGAAGTAAAGGAACTTCACTCGCCTCTCCGAAAAGTTTTGGATTCTTGTCTCTGGTGTAGCACCCTCAACTCATACATAGCTTTTAGCTTTCCTCCTATTGCGTAAAGATAAATATAATAACGAAAAAAGGAAACTTTAAACGTTTACTCTCAGACTGAGTATCATCATCCTTTCGTTTTTCTCGCTCATGCAGGGTCCAATACTTTTAAATTTGATTCCCTCTTTTAACTGCGAATGCTGACGAGGTAAGGTTATCCTTTTTTTCAGTGAAAAACGTTCAAAAGCTTAGAATAAACATGGAAAAGATTTGTAAAGCATTTTTCACTTGATCCGAGTACAAACTATGCTACGGGTGCATCTCCAAAATACCCAAAAACACTTTTTTTTATCACCCAATGTACTTAATTTAGCATTTCTATTATATCATAGTAGTTCTACCGTACTGCTTAGAAGATAGCTAATCTCGATACATCATTTTAGATTAACTGTTTGTGAGGAATCGCTTTGCATGAGGAATCGTGTATAAGGGCTACGGAAAAATTTTCTTGTTCAGATTCATGTTTAATCTTTTGTGTAATTAGATATGCTATCAATTTTTGAACTCATATTGAATCTAATTTTTGAAAGAATTTGGGAATCAATTGATTTATTGACTGGAGGCTAATTATAAGATGATATATTCCGATTTAACAGTTGATCTTAACCTCAATGATAGATATCGGTTTTCCACACCACTCAAAAGTAGTTTTCTGCGACGCTCTTAGGGCCGCATGCATTTAACATCCCCGCTGGGGAGGTGATCACAGCTTAGAAAGAAAGCTTCATATACTGAAGCTTCAAATATCTGGATTTTACGCTGTGTACTTATCCGTAAGTATTCCCACCTTCCTTCATTTTGAACATATTGAACAGGAGCGAGAAGCTGTACAAGCCGCATTTGCTAGCATTTTGTATGATCCCCTGAGGATCCCTTTCAGCCGACCGTCTTTTCTATAGAGTCATTTTTTCGAAGTCAATGAAAACGTCCCAAAGTTGTGCTGCTTAAGCTGTCCGTTAATTAAAAGCTTCCTTTTTGTTTAGTGTGCCGAAACAGCATTCAAATATGGAAGAAAGGAATTATTCGCATGTACGAAAAAGATTTACTTTGATGATGTTTATATTTTACGCGATAAAATCATCTGTTTAGGTGTATATCAGCATCGTTATTATCGAAGAAGATAAAAGGGCTTTAAAAAGCTTGAGTACTTTAGCTAAAAGTACTTTGTTCCACATAAAGTTTTTGTAAAACATTTTTATTCCAATAGATCGAGAGCAAAAATGACTTCAAAAATCAGTAACGGAGTATCTAATAGTGTCCAACTATGCCTTTTTAGTATGTAAAGTAATGCATTTCTATCTTATGCTTTAGCAGATACTTAGCCTCGAATAAATTCTTTGAAGGAGCGAATCAACGCATGATAATATGGGCTATTAGGGGAGATCGTTGTCTTCAAACAGTATGGCTTCGTAGCAGGATGTTGAGCAACACGACCAAGATGGCAATTTCTCTTTATTAACTTCGGCCAACGTTTCGGCGCAATCTTTTGTAGGCAGTAGAAATCGCTTGGAGGAAGCCACGGATAGGATTCCATTCTGCGTGCCTTTCATCTCACTATATAAGCAGCGCGGTGCGGCGATGCGTATATCAGGCGGGTTTGTAAGACGCGCTCAGGGTGGTCGATATTCCGCCGCCCAACCTTAAGAGGCAATTGGTCAGGAATAGAGCGTATGATCGGAGTTGCTTGACTCCAGGCTGTGTAGTTTGTCCTTTCGGTAAAGAGGGGGATTGTATGGTGGCAGGCGTGATATACATCATTACATGTTTATCATGTGGCGACACGTACATAGGCGAAACTGGGCGCCCTCTTTGCTGCTGCATAAAGGAACATCTAGATGGACTGAACAAGTCAAGGACCAGTACACCGCTCGGTAGTCATCGCTTACTGCAACACGAAAATGCTGAAATACAAATTGGAGCCTCGATTCTGTCCTACGAACCCGAAGCCCTATCGCGCAAAACTTTGGAAGCGTTTTGGATCAGCGCTAAAAATCCAAAAATGAACAGGAAGGAGGAGTGCATTGCAATAACTAACGAACTCGCGCCATATCGGGCCCTTGGCGGTTTCTGAGGCTAGGTCAGGTCACCTCATTACTATAAATAGGGCAGAGGTATAGTTATTGCATAGTTGGTGGTCCCTCGTACCCCCTATGCAACGTTTAAGGTGAGTGTTGCTTTGCCGTGGCTCTGGTTCTTTCCTTCGCACTAGCTTTCAACTGAATTGTCTTGCTTCTTCATTGACGTCTGAGGAAAGAGATCCTTATGTATTCGACTTTCTAGGCTCTGACGAAGGCGATTGCGCCGAAACGTTGGCCGAAGTTAATAAAGAGAAATTGCCATCTTGGTCGTGTTGCTCAACATCATGCTAGGTTCATAACTATGCCAAGATTAAAGAACAGTCGGAGTTGGAAGAGTATGGCTTCGGTTTCTCAAACATAGTGGAATGCCAATCTTTCCACCTTATTTTATAGGAATTATAAGGACCTTAGGATGCAATTGATTTATTCGCTGAGAATGATTAGGCAACAGCAAACTGCGGTCTTCCACTACATTTGACTTTGATGTCCTTGATGAAGTTCGCGCTGCTCTTAGCTTCATGCAAGAACTTGTTCACCTAAAAAAACAATCTAAAATTGTTCAACAGGGAGGACATGAACCTACCCCATCGCAGTCATAACCCTGTAGAGTGTAGAGAATCGCAAAGCTGCCATCTAAATTTACTACCTCCTCGTGCACCATGTCCTTGTCATAATTTGCTCCCTTGGCTTTAACGTAGTCATTCAACTAAACATACAAAACACCTTTCTGTATCTTCTTTAGTGAGATGTACGTAAACTTACTAAGCTTTTGAAAACTTGCATATGTGAGTCGTTCATAGCGGGATCGAACCTCTGGTTGCTGACCACGGTAACCTCGATGTCGTCGACTCCGCGTTTACCGGTACTATTACCTCCTCCTCCTCCTCCTCCTCCTCCACTTCCTCCCCCTGTACCTCCTCCTCCTCCTGGTGGAGGGGTGGGTGGACAGGTCTCAATATGACGATACATGTTATTTAGACGACTGTCTATCTGCCTTCTGCACTTACCAATACAAAGCTGAACCATACAGTAGCGAATACGAGTGGAAGATATGTCATGTTTGTCCTTGAACGATGTGATGGCTTACACCAAGCTATTTTATATAGGCAAGGACAAAGAATGCTTTACTACTTCTTTTCTATGAAGCTCATGCCACGATTTTAAGACATCGTTTACCAAAAATTATGTAAACTGTCCTTGTATAGAATAGATGGGGCTCCTTTAGAAGCAATCCTCGTTTTCAGATAACATGTGTTTGCTGACGAATATTAGACGAAATTAGAGTTTCACCATCCATTTTTCTAAAAACGATTAATGCTTTGACCATAAAACATGTCGTTGACACATATTCTGCTAAATTAGATTTTAGTCTTACAACTTTTTTTTATCGAAAACAACAATATTAACGAGAAAATTACTTCATGTTTCTTCTCGCTGTTAGAGTGTTAGATAACTTTGAAAGAAAACTGCTCATCATGAACTCCTTTTTTCTCCTCTCTCTTATAAGTGAAAAAGACATAGTGGGCCAACGTTAACTATGTGCACTAAATTCAATTTATTTCTATCTCTGCTGTTTCTTCTTGTTTTTTGTCTCTTTCTCGTTCTCGCTGTGTTCTCAAAAAGTGCTTTCAAAATTTTTTTGTATATTTCCATCAATTTTCGGTCAAAATCATATCTACAGAAAACCAGCGAAAAATCCAAAACGCATTCGATGGGTCGCTTCTTCCCTTTTTCTAAATTTGGAGATTTGCAGAGCCCAAATAACTCACAAATTTGTAAAATGTCATTCTTACCTTTCATTCTTATTCTCAGATTTCGTTCGCATATAGTTTTTTTCCTGATTGAGTGGTGCAAATTCCGCAGAAAATCGTCGAATAGAGCAGAATCAGGATCTTTGAACAACCAAGGAGGCTGTGAATAAATTTATATTGAACTTCCTGTAACATTAATTTTAGCGAGATTTTTGATTTTCTATGATATTCGCGTAGAATTCATTTTCCAATATTGAAGACTTGCTAATACGTGCTTTACCAAATAAAAATAGATATATGTTAGTTGTTGTTATTTTATTTACCTTATCCGAATTATGGCCACCCTAAGTGTGTACTAGATAAAAATACAGGGTGTCCCAAAAAAATGTTTAGAACGTTTGATCGTTAATATCTCTCTTCCCAAAAAGTCTTTTGCCTTGCTTCCGGTACCATTTTGTAGAGCTGGCTTCAACTTAGATTTCCATCATAGAACGAATCACCCATCTCTCTTCATTAATGTAGGGTTACGGTAGAAACTTCAAAGAGGGTTTTGAACCACGAAAGGCCATATTTTGCCTCAGAAAGGAAACAAAACAGCCTGAAAACTTTTACACCAGGCTAATTAGAATAGCTGATTATAACTGTAAAGTTCCCAACTTATTATGATGCTTCATTGAAGAGGTATGCCAGGTGAGAGGTAGCGGCCTTTTTTTCAATGTTCCTAAAAAGTGCGGTTACACCGTTTAGAAAGCTTCGTAATCTTGTGAATAGTTGAGTATTGAACTCAGCGTCTATAAAAACCCCATTACACAAGTTTTCACAATTTTTTGAAAAATTTTGAAACGGCAGCTTTTTCCACTGACACCATATGTTTCAAGTTTCTACCGTAACCCTACAGTAATGAAGAGTGATGGGTGATTCGTTCTATAATGAAAATCTAAGTTGAAGCCAGCTCTACAAAACGGTACCTGAAGCAAGGCAAAAGACTTCTTGGGAAGAGAGATATTAACGACCAAACGTCCTAAACATTTTTTTGGGACACCCTGTATGTTTCAACGCAGCTCGCTCTGCTGCCCTGTATCAATAACAACGAGTCAAAAATGCGAAAGTTAGTGGTCAAACCCAACAAGATGTGTTTCCAGAAAACTCATCTAGAATGCTTGCTAGAGAAAGCACAATATTCTCTTTCAGTAGTATCGCACAAACATTTTATTTTGAGAAAGTCCAAAGCGGCGAAAAGAAAAGCGAAACAAAAATCCCAGTGACTTAATAATAGTTTTGAGAATGGGACATTGTTTTGCTGCAGATTAGGAACTCTCCGTCATAGCAGGCATGAAAGGGACTGAATCCAAACTCAACTTTTTATCTGTTTCGTAGTGCATTTAGTGCGATTTCGTAGTGATTTCTTTATGCTACCAAACTAAATAATGGGTAGTTATTATATTTTCTATTATCTCGCGCTAGAGAAGGTGGTAGGCTAGGTAAGCTGAGCTGTATGTGCAGAGTGGGAAAAAGTTCTGTCCCTTAAAGGCACCGTCCACCGGAGAACCCACAGGTCGGCATTCCGGAACGGTGATTGAATGGGCGCGCACAAATGGGCGGGAATGGATGGGGGTCCTTGTGCATATTCGCGATTTCTAGGCGATTTACTCGCTTCCGAAGTGGCGTTTTGTGCCGCGACTTGGGCACTGGATTGATAGGGGGCCTTATTATATGCTGCCAGCTCAACATTCTCAACTTAGGACGCTGCCTTCAAATTAAAACTCAAAGAATTGGGGTGATTCCCTATTTATTTGGTAAATTCAAGAATCCTAAAAAAAGAATAAGTTCTTATGTTTCACTATTTGGCGCCCAAAATTCACCAATTTCACCTAGCGACGAATCTAATTCACATCATCCCATACCAGTTCTTGCAGCTGTGTTTTGCAAAGATGATCTCCAAATAATTCTGTTATCTCTTGTATCTTTTATCTTTTATTCTTTTATTTCCTAGAATATGGAAATCTTCTGCTGCTTAAAAAATTTGGTAGCGACTTCGGAATATCTACAAATCAGTCGGTCCGCATTTGCGCTGGTAGAAGAGTTGTATTCTGCCACGAAAGCTGCTGCGGAGCAATGGTGTGAGATGAGCAATCATGGTACGGAAACTACTTACCGTCGTTTATTGACTAAAAATTATCATGATAAGGATCGATGGTCTTTTCATTCTTTCTACTTCTTTTTGCAGACCGAAATGTTCGCGTAAAATTTGGATCCATTCAATGCATTGAGCAAGAGAAGATCAGACTAGCCTTTTTCAAGACAAGACGTCACCAATCTGTAATAAGTAGAAAATTTGAAAAAAGATTATATGGTAAATGCTTCTTAAACGAAGCTTATATCATTGCTAATGTTATATCCAGGGTCCAAACTCGCGCTTAAATGCTGTCGACGCAGCGTTTGATTCTGCTCGCTGTTATCACTCTTTCGAACGGACTGAAGGAAGCCGGTTCAAATCAAACTCCTTAGTCTAAGTGCAAGGTCTCGCCTACACAAAAGAATTAGAAACTATTGATCTCCTTTATGTCTGAGGTGTTTTATAGGGCAAATTCGAGGGACAGTACTTTTTCCGCCCCAACCCCCCCCTCCCCTATATATAGCGGATGAGCCCTGTTTTCTTATAAAATCTAGGTGTTTAGGGCCCAGCAAGCCGCCACCACCGTAATTTATCATCAATTTTCGATATTTAATCATGTGTTCACAAAATTTCTGATATGTACAATGCACAATGTTCATCACGTATAATACGAAGTCTACAAGAAGAAACTTTACTCGCCTCCTCGAAAATTTTTGGTTCTTGTTTTTGGTGCAGCACCCTCAACCTCATACATATATAAATAGCTTCTGGCTCTTCTCCTACTGCGTATAGATAAAATACAATACTGGAAAAAGAAAACTACTCGCGTATACCCGAGATTGAGCATCATTATCCTTGCAATTTTCTCTCTCTTTTTCTAATTTTTTTCACTCCGATACTTTTGTGTCTAATTCCCTTTTTTAACTGCAAATACTTGAAGAGTTAGTTTAATCTTTTTTGCGCAAATCGGGGTTAACATCAATGAAAAAGGTCCTTGCAAAGCTTAAAATGACCCTGGAAGAAATTTGTAAAGCATTTTTTACTTAATCCGAGTACGAAACTATGCTCATTTGCATCTCCAAAATACCCAAAAATGCCGCTTACAAACCAATACTATCTATCTGAAAGACAATTCATGCCCTACGTGCCGCTTGAAGACTTTTTAAAGATTATGAGAACTGCCCCAAACGTGCAAAAATCTGTTTCCCTGTGCGATCGAGTTGCCCTACGTGCCGCTTACAAACCAATACTATCTATCTGAAAGACAATCGAGTTGCCCTACGTGCCGCTTACAGACCGATAGTAACTATTCAAAAAGAGAAATTATGCCCTATGTGCCGCTTGAAGACCGTATATGTAAGAAAAACCGACCTTACGACTCTACAGAAAGAAAACAACGAAATCAAGCAATTACAGCGTAAATTACGTACATGCCACTTTTGGCTTTCATTTTGAGAACTGCCCCAAACGTACAAAAATCTGTTTCCCTGCCCGATGGAATTGCCCCACGTCCCGCTTACACACCGTTACCTAGTTAAAAGCACCAGCGGGACTCAGTTACACAAGCAAAAGCAAGGCTGTTGTTAGATAAACGCTTCCAAAAGTACCAGCGACAGGTTACTCACGCACCCTCTTCTTTACACGCGGAAGCAAGATAATCTTAAAGTGACTTCTTGGTTAGAGCATTTTTACCAAGAGTTGAGAACATAGCTGAATTTAGCTCAAGACATGCAATTTGGCATCATTTCAAAAGCAACTGATAGGAGTACAACATATTTGGAAGACACAATCTGGGATAACAAGCTCGAAAAAAAAGCAGGTATATACAAATAATACACCCGGACACTGCCGACCCAGTCTCAAATTCATTGCGATACTCATGATTGCCTTTCGAAATACGCGTGACCCCTTTACGAAAATGTGCTTGGTCACTTGTTGTGAAATTTGGCAGCGTTCCAAGACGCATGCCACTTGGCAGCAATCCAAAGTCAAAGGTCAGTGTATTTAGAAAATCACTACGTAAAATAATTTGTCGTAGTTTACCACTTGGCTACCCCTGATCCGTGGAACATGGCAAACGAGGAGGCAGCAGACGGAGAAATTATGATTTCTATTTTCATCATAACTTCTCCGTCTGCTGCCTCCTCGTTTGCCATGTTCCACGGATCAGGGGTAGCCAAGTGGTAAACAACGACAAATTATTTTACGTAGTGATTTTCTCGAACTATCAATTTTCTGTGGGTCGCAAGCGTCAGCGCTTTAGCGAGTTTGGTGAGCCTTTCTAGCAGCTAGAATTTGGTGTATCGTTAGGTACCCGTTGTTAAAGCAGCCAAGGGGCGTGGCCAAATGTATTCTACTAATGGCTGGGTACCTAACGCCCGCACCTCGGTTGGATACCTAGCGTCCCCCCACCCCCCATATTCCCAACTCTCCCAACTCCTCAGCGATCCACTGAGAAATGTTAGTACAGTGTACCTGTCGTAATTTAACAGAACAGCTTTCGTTTCGGGATTTACCGATACCAATATATGCCAGTGGCGTACCGAGGGGTGGGAGGAGGGGGCGAGGGGAGGCGCCCTCCCTCGAGAATGGGTCGCGTTTTTAAAGTTATTTAAATGTGTTATAAGAATGTGCAGAGGACTTGTTTTTACTTGTAAATAATTTTAAAAATTTTTTAAAATTTTTAAAAATTCAAATTAGCCTTGTAAAAATTTTTTTGGGGGCGTGGCTGCCGCCACGCCCCCTTTTTTCTGAAATTTTGGGGTCAGGGGCCCGAAAAATTTTGGGGAACATCCCAAAAAAATTTTCGGAGTGCGTGGCTGACGCCACGCACCTTCACTAGAAAAACTTTTTTGTCGCGCCCCCACCCCGAGCCAAAATCCTGGATACGCCACTGAAACATGCGTATCTGTTCTGTGCGTAATTCCAAAATCCGTGGTCACAGCTCAACTATCTCGCTATTTGTGGTTTAATGTACCGTAGAATCCATCGGTATATCGACTACTATTCCATCAAATCCACCTTCAGAATCAATCTATGCTGGTGATTAACCTTTTACAACTGGCTTGCCGGCTGCAAGGCACGGCTTTGTGACTTATTCAAGAACGCTCGAACCCGCTACGCAGTCTGCGTCTCTCTCGCGCGAGTGCTCTCTGATCATTATCTAGTCTTAATTAGATCACGAAGCCCAGCCTTCCAGCCGCCAAGCCAGTTGAATCAAAAGGTACGTCGGAGCTGAGAGGACAAGAAAGAGACGAGCTAGGAGACCAAAGTGAGTATCACACACTCCCACCTTCCCATTTGATTCTCAAAGGCAGCATGACAACCGAATATTCATCGCTCTCCCTGGACGAGCTAAGTCCAAGACTGTGCTTTGCAGCTTCAAAAAATATCAATAACCCACTTTTCCAGACGTGAATAGTGCTATTTGGGCGGACCGCGTATCCTGCTCCTTAGAGCGCGATTGCCTTGTGAGTGGAGACACCGTACCTATCGTACTCGCGCTTGAGGACAGGCCTACGCCGTCCTCCCAAATAGCACTTTTCAATTTTTGAAAAGCGGGTTATTGATATTCTTTGAAGCTGCATAGCACAGTCTTGGACTTAGCTCATCCAGGAGAACCGAGAGCGGCAAGCCTGCTCTAAGCGCTATGGTGCTCGCCGGACACAGCATGCCGCCAATTTGGAAAATACAAACTTCTCTAGTTCTTTTTTGTTGGATGAGAATCTGGATAGAAGGTGACTTCAGTGGTGCAGAGATTCGCATCAAAGCTTAGAACAGGTAACAAGGGCAGATTTGTGATCAGCATTCAGGATGGCTACGGTCACCAAGTATTTTCCCTTTGTTAGACTGTTTGTTTTTATTTGGTTTTCTGAGGTTGTTCTTGCAAATAGAACTCTCGGTCAGAGCTGCGATAGGTGGAGCCGGGCCCCCCAAAAGTGAAGGTGGCTCCAGCTACCACTGGCCGGCCAAAAGTGAAGGTGGTAGTGCCGGACACTCACCTCCCAAAAACGTTGACCGGGGGGGGGGGGCTAGAGAGGGAGGAGTGGCATAGGACGGACTTTGGGTTTGGGTTTTTTTGGGTTGGTTTGGGTTTTTTGGTTTTTTTCTGGTTTGGGTTATTTCGGACTTTTGGGTTTTGATTTTTTGGCTGAAACTTAAAAAAAGGAAATTAAGCAAAACGAACGCAAGAAAGTATTGAGAGCATACTCTATGTTGTTTACTTTTAGGAAGTCGCCGTCACCCACTGCGAGCACCTGGAGGCCATCACCAACATGGCCATCACCACACCGACATGTACGCCTCAGCACTTTCTACGATAGAGCAAAGCTTCATGATGACTTCGGATAACTAAAGAGCTCTAACCCGATGGTCCTCTTTAGGACCAATAACTGTGACCCAATGGCCCTCTTTAGGGCCACAAATACGATGAGCACAACTGCATAAATATTCTAAATAAAGGTGTTAATGAAATAGTGTATTTGTGAGCGATACTCAGCTAGACTTTGTGTGTTTCATCAAGTACATTTTGTTATGACGTACTGCGAAGAAAGTAGGTCGATCCAGGCAGTAACCGCCGAGAACCAGAATTTCGAATGATAGAATAATGAAAAATCGTGAAAAATAATTCCACTGTTATAAATCTGCTGGCTGAAGACCTCCGCAGTTGCAACTTCATAGCTTTTGAAGGGTAGGTGTTGTTCTACCAGACAGTGAAAGAATCAGTTTGATTTGAGGAGTGGCCGCCGAGAACGAGAATTTTGAAAAACCTTAAAATATTCTCAATTTTAGGTTGCTTAATGACAACTGATATTTAAACTATTATAAATCCGGACTTTAAAGGTATATGATGTTGCGACTTCATAGGTTTTGTAGAATGAGGTTTGCCCTATCAGAACATGTCTTAGCTATACCGATCCATTGAAACATCGCTGAGATCCAGGCTCTTAAATAAGCATGTAAAAAACCGTTTTTCAGCTCATAACTTCTTCAGAATTGCATAATTCATGCTGCGACTTCATAGGTTGGATTCTCCTCATCAAGAGCTTTCAAATGATATATAATATGTGGGGGATTCACGCCTCCCACGGCATATGCCCGGGGGTGGAATATCTCTCCAGTAATTCTCCACTGGCGGCCTCCCGCCAATACATGGAAATGGGCGCGGTGGAGAATTAGTGAAGAGGAGTACTCCACCCCGGGTTAGAGCCACAAGAAACATTGAATCCCTCACATATTATTTATCATTTGAAAGCTCTTGATGAGGAAAATCCAACCTATGAAGTCGCAGCATGAATTATGCAATTCTGAAGAAGTTATAAGCTGAAAAACGGTTTTTTACCTGCTTTTTTAAGAGCCTGGATCTCGGCGATGTTTCAGTGGATCGGTACAGTTAAGACATATTCTGATAGGGCAAACCTCACTCTACAAAATCTATGAAGTCGCAACATCACACACCTTCAAAATCCAAATTTATAAGAGTTTAAATATCAGTTGTCATTAAGCAACCTAAAATTAAAAAGATTTTTAAGGTTTTTCAAAATCCTCGTTCCCGGCGGCCACTCCTCAAATCAAAGTGATTCTTTCACTATCTGGTAGAACAGCACTTACCTTTCAAAACCTAAGTCGCAACAGCGGAGGTCTTCAGCTAGCAGATTTGTAACAGTGGAATAATTTTTCACGATTTTTCATTATTTTATCATTCGAAATTCTGGTTCTCGGCGGTTACTGCCTGGATCGATCTACTACATAGGTATATGCTCTTAATACTTTCTTTTACATTCCTTTTGCTTATTTTCCTTCTTTTGAGCTTTAGCAAAAAAAATTTGCAAACCCAAAAGTGAAGGTGGTCACCCTGTACCAGCTCAAAAGTGAAGGTAGGCGGAGAATCGGCTCCAACTATCGCACCTCTGCTCTCGGTGCATATGATAGAATACAAAATTACATGTTTAATACTGAGTTCACTATAAATTTCGATCGTTTTGGTGTACTTAAATGTTTTCATCATTTTTGCTGAGATCTAGGTTCAATCTATTAGGTGTCCCATAATTTTTTACCGTTACTCTAAACTTCAGCATTCTTCAAGAATGGGACTTTACAAAGCGTACAAATACATGATCGTACTTCTGTATGTCTGAGCTATATGATCACTTGCGTGGGAGGAGCACAGAACGTCTAGAAGCGAAGTTTGCCATTTTACTTCATTCATTTTTTTTCCTTATTTCTAGCAATGGAGAAAATAGCAAAAGTGTACAGCTGAGTGTTCAATGTGTCAAGCATAGGCTGCTAGGATATACGGGGAACTTTGGAGACTTTTTGGAGCGGGATAAGGTTTTTGACGGTAAGGTTTGTTCCTTTCATGCTATCAGGTTCAGCTAAAAACTTCACGTGGAATACGATTCGAACAGACTGTTCATAGCCATCTAGTAGAGCTCCCTTGTCCTGTCGAATCATCACTCGAGCCACATCAAATGAGGGAAAGATTGGACGGTTGTGATAAAAACGATAGAAAATTATGAGACACCCCAATAATAGTAGCTTCTAGCTTTTCTGCTTACGGTTAGTTATAGTGGGATATTTTCCCTCATGTGTTTTTCCTTTCTGATCTAATTTGCCTTGACAAGTTACACAATGCACTAACAAGGAATATTATAAAAGCCATTTTGTTCTATACAAGATTTTTGTGAAGCTTAATCATTTCAACTCAATGATCGTGAGAATGTGGTCAAAGGGGAGTTTTGTTAACAGGAATGCTTCATTTTTTCCCAAAATGTACTTAGCTTGTAGCGACGCATTTGGTAGCAATGCACAACTACCGTATTACTACCAAGTACCATATCTAGATGGTTTCTCGATGTTCGACCTCAGAAGAGAATCAAAACTACGCACGATAGGGGTTGATTAAAAGAATCATTGTCTGCAAGCAGTCTAAGTGGCTCTGGTGGCTCTTTTCCACATCAAAGAAATCTGGTCTTTGTAATTTTGGTATGATATCTAAACTTTGTAGAAACTTTTGCATGCGATTAATTTATTTCTGAAAATTGTTCAGGCAACAACAAACTGCGGTCTTCCACCACACTTGATCTTGATGTCTTTGATAAAGTTTGCGCTGCTCTTAGCTTCATGCAAGAAGTTGTTCACCTAAAAAACCATCTGAGATTTTGCGACAGGCAGGACGTAAACCTACCCCATCGCAGTCATAACCCTGTAGAGTGTAGAGAATCGCAAAGTTGCCATCTACATCTACGATCTCCTCGTGCACCATGTCCTTATTGTAACTTGCTCCTTTGGCTTTAATGTAATCATTCAACTAAACACACGAAACATTTTCCTATATTTCCTTTGTGAGACGTAGCAAACTCACTAAGCTTTTGAAAACTTGCATATGTGAGTCGTTCATAGCGGGATCGAATTTCTGATTGCTGACCACGGTAACCTCGATGTCGTCAACTTCGCGTTTACCGGTATTGTTACTTTGTCCTCCACCACTACCTCCCGAACCTCCTCCTCCTGCACCTCCTCCTCCTCCTCCTGGTGGAGGAGTGGGTGGACAGGTCTCAAAATGACGATACATATAACTTAGATGACTGTCTATCTGCCTTCTGCACTTACCAATACAAAGCTGAACCAAACAGTAGCGAATACGATTGAAAGATATGTCATGCTTGTCCTTGGACGATGTGATGGCCTATACAAGCTCTTTTATATAGGCAAGGACAAGGAATCTCTACTAATTTTTTTCTATGAAGCTCATGCCACGACACTGGGCATCGTTTACCAAAAATTATGTAAACTATACCTTTATAGAATAGATGAGGCTCCTTTGAAAGCAGTCCTCGTTTAAGGTTTAAGGTATATGTTTGCTGATGAATGGAAATTGGAGTTTCGCTATCCATTTTTTTGAGAATGATTAATGCTTTGACCAGAAAACATATCCTCGATGCGTATTCTGATAAAATGGATTTCGGTCTGACAACTCTTTTGAAAGACGCAACAATGGTAACAAGAAATTACTAGGTTGTCCGAAAAGTAAACTCATTTCTCAAATAATTCGCTGTTTTTGTTTTTCTAGTTTACTTTGGGTATTCTTCGATAGAGCAGATCATGCTCTACAAAATGGCCATTAAGGATCCGCCTAATTCCCATGCCATATAAGGTTTGAAGCCAAAATCGAAAAAAAGTTTTGTCACCTGAAATTTGGATTTTTAGAAAAACCCTACGGACCTCCAATTTAGTCACTATACAGTAGGCACATAGTAGTACTCAAATATGTTTGGACTTTTTCTGCGCATAGAGAGCGAGAAAATAAGATAGGCCAAAAATGTCAAACTCCGCCCAAGCCCCTCCACATATGTCATTGTATACGACAAGCCTTACTAAGCATAATCTTAAAACTTCCCCCCTGCATGTACTCTTATAATCGAAAAGTTTTACATAAAAACCCAAAAAAGTGGCATTTTGGCATTTTCAAACATCTGAGTCTTTGGCGAATTTTTTTGTAGAGCTTGCTCCGCTCTATCGAATGATACCCCAAGTCTCTATCAGGAGAACGGAAACAGTTTAAGATATTTGAAAATGGAGTTTATATTTGGGACAACCTATTACTTCATGTTTCTTCTCGCGGTTAGAGTGTTAGATAGTTTCAAAAAAACTGCTTATCACTAACTTCTTCTTTTTCTTCTCTCTCTTATAAGTGAAAAAGACATAGTGGGCCAACGATAGCTGTGTGCACTAAATTCAATTTATTTCTATCCTCTGCTGTTTCTTCTTGTTTTTGTTTTGTCTCTTTCTCGTTTTTACTGTGTTCTCAGAAAGCCCTTTTGAAATTTTTTTGTGTATTTCCATCAATTTTCGGTTTGCTTATATCTGCAGAAAAACCAGCAAAAAATCCAAAATGCATTCGATAGGTCGCTTCTCCCCTTTTTCTAAATTTGGAAAGTGTTTTTGCAGAGCCCAAATTACTCACAAGTTTGTAAAATGTCATTCTTACGATTTCGTTCGCATATTTTTTTACTGCTGATTGAGAGGTGCAAATTCTGCAGAAAATTGTCGAATAGAGCAGAACCACGCTCTTCGAATAACCAGGCTGTGGACAAGTTTGTATTGAACTTCCTGTAACGTTTATTTTAACGAAATTTTTTGATTTTCCATGATATTCGGGTAGAATTCACTTATTTTTCAATATTGAAGACTTGCTAATTCCTGCTTTACCAAATTATCATAGATATATGTTGGTTGTTGGTATTTTTTACCTTATTTTTATGGCGACCCTAGTGTGTAAGAGAAAACACAATCTTCTCTTTCAGCATATCGCAAGTTCAAACATTTTATTTTGAAGAAAGTCCAAAAACGGCGAAGAAAAGCGAAAAAAAATCCCTAGTGACTTAATAATAATTTTGAGATTGGGACATTCTTTTTCAGCAGGTTTGGAATTCTCTCTCATAGTAGGCATGAAAGAGACTGAATCCAAACTGAGCATTTTATCTGTTTAGTAGTGCATTTAGTGTGATTTCGTAGTGGTTTCTTTGTGCTATCAGAATAAATAATGAGTAGTTATTTTCTATTGTCTCGCGCTAGAGAAGGTGGTAGGCTAGATAAGCTGTATGTATAGAGTGGTTAAAAGTACTGTCCATTAAAATAAACTCAAAGAATTGAGGTGATTCCCTGTTTATTTGGTAAATTCAAGAATCCCAAAATAAGAATAAGTTCTTACATTTCACTATTTGGCGCCTGAAATTCAGCAATTTCACCTAGCGACGAATCTAATTCACAGCTCATCCCATATCAGTTCTTGCAGCTGTTTTCTGCGATGATTTCCAAATAATTCTGTTATCTCTTGTATCTTTTATCTTTTATTCTTTCATTTCCTAGAATATGAGAAATCTTCTGCTGCTTAAAAATTTGGTAGCGACTTCGGAATATCCACAAATCAGCCGGTTCGCATTTGCGCTGGGAGAAGAGTTGTATTTTGCCACGAAAAAGCTGCTGCGGAGCAATGGGGTGAGATCAGCAATCATGGTACGGAAACTACGTACCATCGTTTATTGACTAAAAATTATCATGACAAGGATCGATGGTCTTTTCATTCTTTCTACTCCTTTTTGCAGAAATCCAAAATCTTAGCATAAAATTTGGATCCATCCAATGCATTGAGCAAGAGAAGATCAGACTAGCCTTTTTCAAGACAAGACGTCACCAATCCGAAATAAGTAGAAAATTTGAGAATAGGTTATATGGTACATGCTACTCAAACGAAGCTTATATCATTGCTAATGTTATGTCCAAGGTCCAAACTCGCGCTTAAATGCTGTCGGCGCAGCGTTTGATTCTGCTCGCTGTTATCACTCTTTTGAACGGACTGAAGGAAGCCGGTTCAAATCAAACTCCTTACAAGGGAATGGTCAGAAGTCGAAGAGGCCAAACCAAAGAAGCTGTATATCATTCGATGCAGTATAAAACGCTGAATTCGAATCTGTCTTCCTTATCTGCTTCCCGCTTCTGTGGACGAAGCTACAAGCGCTTTTATTGTGAAAAAAACCATGCATAAAAACAGCGAAATTGAGCACATTGTTGCATCTTTTGCTCGGCTTTTGGCTTCAAAAATTTTAAGTAAGCTGCTGCATGTTTTGGCCCAGCATTGAGGCGAACGAGGCTCTGTACAGCTAAATTTTCATATTCAAGCATAATTTCTAAGCAAAGTAAGGGTCTTTAATGCCTTGTAACTTCGTCCAGAAAAGCGATGAGCAGATAAAGAAGATAGATTTAGAGTCAGCGCTTCATGCTGCATCTAACGCTACGCAGCTTGTCTGGAATGGCCATTTCGATTTCTGACCATTCCCTTGTTAGTCTAAGTGCAAGGTCTCGCCTACATAAGAAATCAAAAACTATTAGTCTCCTTTATGTCTGAGTGGTTTATAGGGCAAATTCGAGGGACAGTACTTTTTCCGCCCCATCTCCCCCTCCCCCTATATATAGCGGATGAGCCCTGGTTTCTCATAAAATCTAAGTGTTTAGGGCTCAGCGAGCCGCCATCACCGTAATTTATCGCTCAACTTTCGATGTTTAATCTTGTGTTCACAAAATTTCTGATGTGTACAATGCACAATGTTCATCACGTATAATACGAAGTCTACAAGAAGGAACTTTACTCGCCTCTTCGAAAATTTTTGATTCTTGTTTTTGGTGCAGCACCCTCAACCTCATACATAAATAGTAGCTTCTGGCTCTCCTCCTATTGCGTATATATAGAATACAATATTAGAAAAAGAATACTACTCACGTATACCCGAGATTGAGTAACATTATCCTTGTATTTTTCTCTCTCTTTTTCTAATTCTTTCACTCCACTTTTGTATCTGATTCCCTTTTTTAACTGCAAATACTTGAAGAGTTAGTTTAATCTTTTTTGCGCAAATCTGTTTAACACTAGTGAAAAACGTCCTTGTAAAGCTTAAAATGACCCTGGAAGAAATTTGTAAAGCTTTTTTACTTAATCCGAGTACGAAACTATGCTCATTTGCATCTCCAAAATACCCAAAAATGCCGCTTACAAACCAATACTATCTACCTGAAAGACAATTCATGCCCTACGTGACGCTTGAAGACTTTTTAAAAATTATGAGAACTGCCCCAAACGTACAAAAATCTGTTTTCCTGTGCGATAGAGTTGCCCTACATGCCGCTTACAAACCAATACTATCCATCTGAAAAACACGATTTGCCCTACGTGCCGCTTACAGACCGATAGTAACTATTCAAAAAGAAAAATTATGCCCTATGTGCCGCTTGAAGACCGTATATGTAAGAAAAACCGACCTTACGACTCTACAGAAAGAAAACAACGAAATCAAGTAATTACAGCGTAAATTGCCGTACATGCCACTTTTGGCTTCCATTTTGAAAACTCCCCCAAACGTACAAAAATCTGTTTCCCTGCCCGATGGAATTGCCCCACGTCCCGCTTACACACCGTTACCTAGTTGAAAGCACCAGCGGGACTCAGTTACACAAGCAAAAGCAAGGCTGTTGTTAGATAAACGCTTCCAAAAGTACCAGCGACAAGTTACACACGCACCCTCTTCTCTACACGCGGAAGCAAGATAATCTTAAAGTGACTTCTTGGTTAGAGCATTTTTACCAAGAGTTGAGAACATAGTTGAATTTAGCTCAAGACATGCAATTTGGCATCATTTCAAAAGCAACTGATAGGAGTACAACATATTTGGAAGACACAATCTGGGATAACAAGCTCGAAAAAAAAGCAGGTATATACAAATAATACACCCGGACACTGCCGACCCAGTCTCAAATTCATTGCGATACTCATGATTGTCTTTCGAAATACTCGTGACCCCTTTACGAAAATGTGCTTGGTCACTCGTTGTGAAATTTGGCAGCGTTCCAAGACGCATGCCACTTGGCAGCAATCCAAAGTCAAAGGTCAGTGTATTTCATCATAATTTCTCCGTCTGCTGCCTCCTCGTTTGCCATGTTTCACGGATCAGGGGTAGCCAAGTGGTAAACAACGATTCCAAATTATTTTACGTAGTGATTTTCTCGAACTATCAATTTTCTGTGGGTCGCAAGCGTCAGCGCTTCAGCGAGTTTGGTGAGCCTTTCTAGCAGCTAGAATTTGGTGTATCGTTAGGTACCCTTTGTTAAAGCAGCCAAGGGGCGTGGCCAAATGTATTCTACTAATGGCTGGGTACCTAACGCCCGCACCTCGGTTGGGTACCTAACGTCCCCCCCCCCCCCATATTCCCAACTCTCCCAACTCCTCAGCGATCCACTGAGAAATGTTAGTACAGTGTACCTGTCGTAATTTAACAGAACAGCTTTCGTTTCGGGATTTACCGATACCAATACATGCCAGTGGCGTACCGAGGGGTGGGGGGAGGGCGCGAGGGGGGGGGGGGCGCCCTCCCTCGAGAATGGGTCGCGAAATTTTTGAAAGTTACTTAAAATGTATTATAGGAATGTGCAGAGGACTTTTATTTACTTGCAAATAATTTTAAAATTTTTAAAAATTTTTAAAAATTCAAATTAGCCTTGTAAAAAATTTTTTTCGGGGGCGTGGTTTTGTGGTTCAGGGATCCGAAAAATTTTGGGAAACATCCCGAAAAAATTTTTGGAGTGCGTGGCTGACGCCACGCACCTTCACTAGAAAAATATTTTTGTCGCGCCCCCCACCCCGAGAAATCCTGGGTACGCCACTGATACATGCGTATCTGTTCTGTGCGTAATTCCAATCCGTGGTCACAGCTCAACTATCTCGCTATTTGTGGTTTAATATACCGTAGAATACATCGGTATATCGACTGCTATTTCATCAAATCCACCTTCAGAATCAATCTATGCTGGTGACTAACCTTTTACAACTGGCTGGCTTGCCGGCTGCAAGGCAGGGCTTTGTGACTTAATCGAAGCCGCTCGAAGCCGCTCGAACCCGCTACGCAGTCTGTGTCTCTCCCGCGCGCGTGCTCTCTGATCATCATCTGGTCTTAATAGGTTACGAAGCCCCGCCTTCCAGCCACCAAGCCAGTTGAATCAAAAGGTACGTCGGAGTTGAGAGGAGAAGAAGGAGACGAGCTAGGAGACCAACATGAATATCACACAATCCCACCTTCCCATTTGATTCTTAATGGTAGCGGCAGAATGACAACCGAATATTCATCGCTCTCCCTGGACGAGCTAAGTCCAAGACTGTGCTTTGCAGCTTCAAAAAAAATATCAATAACCCGCCTTTCCAGACGTGAATAGTGCTATATGGGCGGACCATGTATCCTGCTCCTTAGAGAGCGATTGGCTTGTGAGTGGAGACACCGTACCTACCGTACCCACGAGCAAGCTCCCGTCCTCCCAAATAGCACTTTTCATTTTTTGAAAAGCGGGTTATTGATATTTTTTGAAGCTGCATAGCACAGTCTTGGACTTAGCTCATCCAGGTGAACCGAGAGCAATGAATGTCCCAAAGTTGTCACTCTGCCGAGCCGCTGCCTTCAAGGAGTTGCCGCGTGACAGCAGCTTGCCAATAGCTTGATTAGGCTCTCACAATTAGCAACCACATGTAGCACACGTATCCGCATTTGCTTGGACACTGTCTTTAAGATAGCGTTTCTATGAAGAATCAGAGAGCAATCGCAGTCAAGTTCAGAGAATCTGCTCGCAGGACGAGCGCACAATTGCTTCAAAGAGCATGACTGCTACGACCAACGAGAAGTTGACATGCAGTGGAGCTGGCTTCAACTTAGATTTACGGTATAGAACGAATCATAATCGCTCTTCACTATTTCAGAATTACGGTAGGATTGAAGAGGGTTTTGAGCCATGGAAGGCCTTGTATTTGATCCATGAAGAAAACAAGGCTACTGCCAGAACTACGTTCTACAGCACCATCATCATTGCTAAATGGCCATACGTACGGCTCTACTTCATAAAAAGAAAGATGTAGCTTTTACCAAAGTTTGTCGAGAACTCCTAGACGACACCGCCCCCCTTCATCAATCCCGCCCACCCGTAATCTCCTATTCAAATCTGCCTCGCGGGTCCTCCGGAACGGGGATTGTCGGAGTTTTCGAAGATTCTCCACTTCATCCTGGAATTAGGGCAGGGCTCGACATAGACGGCTTATGGGGCAAGCTGGATGTCGTTTCGGGGTGAAAAGCAAGTTGATATCGTTTACGGAACCTCCCTGCCCCCCACCTGCCCCACAATCACTTTCTCCCTTCTATGTCACCATTCATCTTCTATAGAGGATACAGATTATTCCTACCTTATCGATCCCATTCCTCCAAAAGCCAAAGAATTTCTGTTTCAACATTTTCCCCCACCAGCGCACGAATCTAAAAACCTGACCCAAAATAACCAAAGAAAGCCTTGTTTACAGCTAAAAGAAGACGAAATGGCATCAAAACTAGATGGGCAATAGGGAGTTCAGACCATGTTTGAAAAATTGTGAAAGAGTTATGTGAACTGGAGGCGTGGCAAACTTTTTTCGGAGTTAGATGGCTTTCCAGCCACGTGAAGGTGGCTGTGAAGAGAAGAAGTCATAAATTTCTCTTCCTTTACATAATCTTATCACAACTTTAACATAACTTTATTCTACATCAAAAACCCTACAACAGAGTTTCTGAATCTCTCCAAAACCTTTCCTCCTCGCCTAGTTACAGCTCACCAAATATTTTGTATGGCGGCGGCAAGCCTGCTCCAAGCGCTATGGTGCGCGCCGGACACAGCATGCCGCCAATTTGGAAAATACAAACTTATCTAGTTCTTCTTTGTTGGATGATAATCTGGATAGAAGGTGACTGCAATGATTGTGCAGAGATTCGCATCAAAGCTTAGAACAGGTAACAAGGGCAGATTTGTGATCATCGTTTTAAGAGGCACTTCTAATGATATGCATAGCATTCCGGAATGCCACGGTCACCAAGTATTTTCCCTCTGTTAGACTGTTTGTTTTTGTTTGGTTTTCTGAGATTGTTCTTGCAAATAAAACTCTCGGTGCATATGATGAAATACAAAATTCAACTTGTTTAATACTGACACTATAAATTTCGATCGTTTTGGTGTACTTAAATGTTTTCATCATTTTTGCTGAGATCTAGGTTCAATCTATTAGGTGTCCCATAATTTTTTACCGTTACTCTAAACTTCAGCATTCTTCAAGAATGGGACTTTACAAAGCGTACAAATACATGATCGTACTTCTGTATGTCTGAGCTATATGATCACTTGCGTGGGAGGAGCACAGAACGTCTAGAAGCGAAGTTTGCCATTTTACTTCATTCATTTTTTTTCCTTATTTCTAGCAATGGAGAAAATAGCAAAAGTGTACAGCTGAGTGTTCAATGTGTCAAGCATAGGCTGCTAGGATATACGGGGAACTTTGGAGAGTTTTTGGAGCGGGATAAGGTTTTTGACGGTAAGGTTTGTTCCTTTTATGCTATCAGGTTCAGCTAAAAACTTCACGTGGAATACGATTCGAACAGACTGTTCATAGCCATCTAGTAGAGCTCCCTTGTCCTGTCGAATCATCACTCGAGCCACATCAAATGAGGGAAAGATTGGACGGTTGTGGTAAAAACGATAGAAAATTATGAGACACCCCAATAATAGTAGCTTCTAGCTTTTCTGCTTACGGTTAGTTATAGTGGAATAATTTCCCCATGTGTTTTTCCCTTCTGATCTAATTTGCCTTGACGAGTTACACAATGCACTAACAAGGAATATTATAAAAGCCATTTTGTTTTATACAAGATTTTTGTGAAGCTTAGTCGTTTCAACTCAATGATCGTGAGAATGTGGTTGAAGGCAGTTTCCGGGCAAAAACTCGATTTTGAGATTTTGTGCTTACCCGGGCCTATTCGCTATGCTGAATCCGAAAATCCACATTAGAGAGCGCGAAAACGACGAAAAAGGGCTCTAATACTGGAGGGAAATCAGCAAGTGGGCGGGGTCTTCCCCACGGTGAATTCACGCTCCCAGCTTCGGGGACGATCTTTTTGATTTCAGTTTCAAGTCATTCGTTTGCACTTGGTCGGTAGTGATGTCAGGGCGGCTAACGGATTCGAGAGAATTTCTCTGGAAGCTGGAAGCGTGAATTCACAGCGGGGAAGACCCCGCCCACTTGCTGATTTTCCTCCAGTGTTAGAGCCCTTTTTCGTCGTTTCCGCGCTCTCCAATGTGGATTTTCGGATTCAGCATAGCGAATAGGCCCGGGTAAGCAGAAAATCTCAAAATCGAGTTTTTGCCCGGACACTGCCTTTAAAGGGGAGTTTTGTTAACAGGAATGCTTCATTTTTTCTAAAATGTACTTAACTTGTAGCGACGCATTTGGTAGCAATGCACAACTACCGTATTACTACCAAGTACCATATCCAGATGGTTCCTCAACGACAATGCTTCATTTTTTCAGCATTGTCAGAAGAAACTCAAAACTATGCACGATATGGGTTGATTGAAAGACTCATTGTCTGCAAGCAGTCTGAGTGGCTGTGGTGGCTCTTTTCTAATTCGAAATTACGATTAGTTCTTCAAATCAGCGAAATCGGTTTCTTGTAATATTGGGGTGATATCTAAGCTTTGCAGAGACTTTTGCATGCGATTGATTTATTGTCTGGAAATTTCTCAGGCAACGACAAACTACGGTCTTTCACCACACTTGACTTTGATGTCCTTGATGAAGTTTGTGCTGCTTTTAGCTTCATGCAAGAATTTGTTCACCTGAAGAAATAACCTAAAAATTTTTGAGACAGGCACGACCTAAACTTACCTCATCGCAGTCATAACCCTGTAAAGTGTAGAGAATCTCGAAGTTGCCATCTACATTTATTATCTTCTCCTGCACCATGTCCTTGTTATAATTTGCTCCCTTGGCTTTAACGTAATCATTCAACTGAACATACGAAACAGCTTTCTACATTTTCTTCAGTGAGATGTACGCAAACTTACCAAGCTCCTAAAAACTTGCATATGTGAGTCGTTCATAGCGGGATCGAACTTCTGGTTGCTGATCACGGTAACCTCGATGACGTCACCTTCGCCAACGTCAACTTTTCCTTGGGTATTGTTACCTCCTCCTCCTCCTCCTCTTCCTCCTCCTCCTCCTGGTCGTATAATGAGGGGTGGACAGGTCTGAAAATGACGATACATATCATTTAGACGACTGTCTATCTGCCTTCTGCACTTACCAATACAAAGCTGAACCACAGAGTAGCGAATACGATTGGAAGATATGACATGTTTGCCCTTGAACGATGCGTTGGCCTACACAAGCTCTTTTATATAAGCAAGGACAAGGAATCTCTACTAATTTTTTTCTATGAAGCTCATGCCACGATTATGGGGCATGTTTACCAGGAATCATGTGAACTATACCTTGTATAGTATAGATGGGGCTCCTTTGAAAGCAATCCTCGCTTTTGAGTACTATTTGTTTGCTGGTAAATAGAAATTCGAGTTTCGTTATTCATTTTTCTGAAACGATTGATGCTTTGGTCATAAAACATGTCTTTGACGCATATTCTGCTAAAATGGAATTTGGTTTGACTCTCTTTTTATTGAAAGACACAACAATGGTAACGAGAAATTACTTCATGTTTCTTCTCACTGTTAGAGTGTTAGATAATTTCAAAAGAAAACTGCTCATTATGAACTTCTTTTTTCTCCTCTCTCTTATAAGTGAAAAAGACATAGTGGGCCAACGATAGCTATGTGCACTAAATTCAGTTTATTTCTATTTCTGCTGTTTCATCTCGTTTTTGTTTTGTCTCTTTCTCGTTTTTACTGTGTTCTCAAAAATCCCTTTTAAAATTTTTGTATTTCCATCAATTTTCGGTCGAATTATATCTGCAGAAAAACCAGCGAAAAATCCAAAACGTAATCGATGGGTCGCTTCTTCCCTTTTTCTGAATTTGGAAATTGTTTTTGCAGAGCCCAAATAACTCACAAGTTTGTAAAATTTCATTCTTACGATTTGGTTCGCATATTTTTTATTCCTGATTTAGTGGTGCAAATTCTGCAGAAAATTGTTGGATAGAGCAAAGTTACGTTCGAATAGCCAAAGAGGCTGTGAGTAAGTTTGTATTGAACTTCGTGTATCTATTTTAACGAGATTTATGATTTTCCATCATATTCAAGTAGCAACATTTTCCAATATTGAAGACTTGCTAATTCGTGCTTTAGCAAATTATTACGGATACATGGTTGTTGGTATTTCTTTGACCTTATCCATTTTATGGCGACCCTAGTGTGTAATAGATAAAGATAAAGATATGTTTCAATGCAGTTTGCTCTTCTGCCCCTTGTCTCAATGCGAAAGTTCAAATGGTCAAACCCAGCAAGATGTGTTTCTAGAAAACTTATTTAGAATACTTGCTAGAGAAAGCACAGTCTTCTCTTTTAGTAATGTCTAAAAACGGCGAAAAGAAAAGCGAAAAAAATCCTAATGACTTAATAATAATTTTAAGAATGGAACATTCTTTGGTTGCAGATTGGGAACTCTCCGTCGTAGAAGGCATGAAAGAGACTGAATCCAAACTGAGCAATTTATCTGTTTAGTAGTGCATTTAATGTGATTTCGTTGTGGTTTCTTTGTGCTATTAGAATAAATAATGAGTAGTTATTTTCTATTGTCTCGCGTTAGAGAAGGTGGTAGGCTAGATAAGCTGTATATCGCGACTCCGCGATGCAGAGCGCTCCTCGGAACAGGAGGCCGGGGGCGCTGTTTGCCGCATTTGCCTGTCGCGCCTTTTGTAGGCTGCTGCAGGACCACCTCCAGCTTGGAAGGTAGCCAAGCGGCGGGGTATATAAGGCTGCCGAGAGAGCAGCCGCCGCCTCCTCTTCTTCGACTCTTGTGTGATTATCGATTATCTTATTATACTCGGCTACGTTTCAAGCAGCTCCCGCATTCGAGGACTTTTGGTTGAGCGGTTGAGCTTTTCCTTTGTGTCTTGTGTACTGGTCGCGCGTAGGCGCAAGGAAAGTTCAAAAGTTGTAGATGAACATCATGCGGGAGTGGAGCTGGTGAGTGCGCCGTTCCACTGGACTGGGCCTCCTTGCGGTCGGCTCTGAGGAGGAACCCAGAACTTCATAGTTGGAGTGATTTCTCTCATTCATCGGTATCCTGGGACGCGCGGCTCGTCCCGTAACTTGTTCTCATTTATTCTTGTAGATTAGGAGCCCGTAGTTTAGTAGTATTTTTGTTATCTGTCTGTTTTATCGTTGTTTAGTATATAAACTCACTTAATCTAGTCGTGTTCTGTACGGGTGCATTATCTTGGTGACAGCGTCGAGTGGACGCGCCTTAGGGGCCCCATAGGTGTCGGACGCGTGACGTCCTAGGGCTAGGGATTGGTTGTGTATGGCGGTCGGACTGTTACGACTAGGGGTGCTGAGCCCTCTGAGCCGCAACACTGTATGTATAGAGTGGTTAAAAGTACTGTCCATTAAGATAAACTCAAAGAATTGGGGTGATTCCCTATTTATTTGGTAAATTCAAGAATCCCAAAAAAAGAACAAGCTCTTACATTTCACTATTTGGCCCCCAAAATTCAGCAATTTCACCTAGCGACGAATCTAATTCACATCATCCCATACCAGTTCTTGCAGCTGTGTTTTGCAAAGATGATTTCCAAATAATTCTGTTATCTCTTGTATCTTTTATCTTTTATTCTTTTATTTCCTAGAATATGAGAAATCTTCTGCTGCTTAAAAAATTTGGTAGCGACTTCGGATTATCCACAAATCGGCCGGTTCGCATTTGCGCTCGGAGAAGAGTTGTATTTTGCCACGAAAAAGCTGCTGCGGAGCAATGGGGTGATATCAGCAATCATGGTACGGAAACTACGTACAATCGTTTATTGACTAAAAATTATCATGATAAGGATCGTTGGTCTTTTCATTCTTTCTACTCCTTTTTGCAGAAATCAGACATCTAAGCGTAAAATTTGGATCCATTCAATGCATTGAGCAAGAGAAGATCAGACTAGTCTTTTTCAAGACAAGACGTCACCAATCTGTAATAAGTAGAAAATTTGAGAAAAGGTTATATGATACATGCTACTTTAATATGAACCTTATATCATTGTTAATGATATACCCACGGTCCAAACTCGCGCTCAAATGCTGCCGGCGCCACATCTGATTCTTCTCGTGTTGTCACTTTTTTGAATGGACATGGACTGAAGGAAGCCGGTTCAAATCAAACTCCTTCTAAGTGCAAGGTCTCGCCTACATAAAAAAATCAAAAACTATTGATCTCCTTTATGTCTAAGGTGTTTTATAGGGCAAATTCGAGGGAAAGTACTTTTTCCGCCCGCCCATCTTCCCCCCCCCCCCCTCCCCTATATATAGCGGATGAGCCCTGGTTTCTCATAAAATCTAGGTGTTTAGGGCCCAGCGAGCCGCCACCACCGTAATTTATCATCAGTTTTCGATATTTAATCATGTGTTCACAAAATTTCTGATATGTACAATGCACAATGTTCATCACGTATAATACGAAGTCTACAAGAAGGAACTTTCCTCGCCTCTTCGAAAATTTTTGGTTCTTGTTTTTGGTGCAGCACCCTCAACCTCATACATATATAAATAGCTTCTGGCTCTTCTCCTACTGCGTATAGATAGAATACAATACTGGAAAAAGAAAACTACTCACGTGTACCCGAGATTGAGTATCCTTATCCTTGCAATTTTCTCTCTCTTTTTTTAATTCTTTTCACTCCGATACTTTTGTATCCCCTTTTTTAACTGCAAATGCTTGGAGAGTTAGTTCAATCTTTTTTGCGCAAATCGGGGTTAACACTAGTGAAAAAGTCCTTGTAAAGCTTAAAATGACCCTAGAAGAAATTTGTAAAGCATTTTTTACTTAATCCGAGTATGAAACTATGCTTATTTGCATCTCCAAAATACCCAAAAATGCTTCTCCATCAGCCAGTATGTACCTGATTCAATGTACCGCATTTTCTGTATTACAGCAGTTCTGCCGTACAGCTTAGAAGATGGCTAATCTCGAATGATTCATTTTATTGTTAGAAAAAATAGGCATAAAAAAGGTGGAAAGAATAGGGCTACTTGTGGGAATCGCTTTGCATGAGAAATCGTGTATAAGGGCTATGGGAAAAATTTCCTGTATCAACTCATGTTTAGTTCCTTGCGTAATCAGAAATGCTATTATTTTTCGAACTCGTGTTCCTGTTCTTTGAATTCGAGAATTAATCTATTTATTGACTGGAGGCTGATTATAATTCCATTTTCGTTATACAGGGTGCCCCAAAAGTAAGTACACACTTTTCAATCGTCAATATCTCTCCTCCCAATGGGTCTTTTTTTGCCAATAAAGCATCATTCTGTGAAGGAGGCTTCAACTTAGATTAACAGTATCGATCGAATCACCGATCCCACTTCATTACCGTAGGATTACCGTAAGAACTTCCACCATTTGGAACCATTGTGAAATATGCCACCTGACAAAATTTTTAAAAAATATCTGAAAAATTGTGTACTAGGGTTTTCGCGCACGCTGATTCCACTACACAACTTTTTATGAGTGTTTTCAGCTTTCTTTGACGGTTTGATCACATTTCCAACAAATACTGGGAATTCGGTTACTACGGTTTACCTGGGATAACTTTGGAAAGAAGCACCACAGTAAAGCGGAAATTTCATATTCGAAATCAGCGGCTTCCACTACCATATTATAAAAGCTTTTGGCTTGTTTGGTTTTGTTCCGAGGCAGAATATGCTTGCAACGGCCTAAAATCCTTGTCGAAGTTCCTGCAGTAATCCTACAGTAATGAAGAGCGAACGGTGATTCGCTCGATACTGTAAATCTAAGTTGAAGCCTCCTCTACAGAAATACACTTAAATGGCGGAAGAAGACACAATGGGAACTGAGATATTAACGATTGAAATGTGTGTACTTACTTTTGGGACACCCTGTATTCCGGTTTAATAGTTGATCTTGATGTCAGTGATAGATATCGGTCTTCCACACCATTCAAAACAAAAGCTTTCAAAGTGGAAAAGGGTGCGCGAGTCTCACTCGTAACCCGTTAGATGAATGGAGCGAAGCCCAAGATTACCATTTACATTCATTATCTCCTGGGCAAATAGTGGTCATAGTTTTCTCCTTTTTCGAGGCAATCGTTTGGCTTCAAATATATTGGGCGTTCGAACTTTCCTAAACTTTCAGATGAGCGTTAGCTACCAATTTTAATCATTCAATGAACAGCTTGGACCGGTCATGTATA